TACAAATTAAATAAAATTTAAAATTTCTAACAAAATTATGTATGTACTTTTCACAACACCAAAAAAGATCATATTTTCGATGAAATTTTTACGTTGCAAACAATGAAAATTTCATCATAAAATTATTTTTTCGTCAGAATACTTTTCGTCAAAAAGCGATGGAATTTTTCAACTGATGAAAATTTTTACAAAAATAAATTTTATGTCGAAACTTTCGACGAAATTTATTTTCCATCAAATGTTTTAAAGGAAAAAAGAATTCTGTCAAAAATTTTGACGGAACGTTTTCCATTCAAAATTTCGATGGAAATGTGTTCTGACGAAAATTTCGACAGAAATTGTTTTGTTAGAAATTTTAAGGGCAAAGTTTCATTCGAAACTTTCGACGAAATTTAGATTCTGTAAAGAATTTCGGCAGAATAATTTTCCCGTCAAAATTTGTTGTCGAAATATTTTTCGTCAAAATTTTTTACGGAAATATTTTTGACAGAAATGCGTTCCGTTGAAAATTTTGATGGAAATGTTTTGTATCAAAAATTTTGACGGAAATATTTTTCGTCGAAAATTTTCGATGGAAATGTGTTTCGTTAAAAATTTCGACTTTTTTTTGCCAAAAAGTTTAACGAAAATATTTCCGTCGAAAACTGTCGACGGAATTTAAATTCTGTTAAAAATTTTGATGAAATTTTTTTCGTCAACAATTTTCGATAGAAATGTGTTTCGTTGAAATTTTTCGTCAAAAATTTCGATGAATATATTTTTTTGTTAAATATTTTGGCAAAATTTAGATTTCGTAAAGAATTTTGACAAAAAAAAAAAAATTTCGTCAAAATTTTGATGGAAATATTTTCAGTTAAATATTTTGATGTAATTGTTTTACGTCGAAACTTTTCGATTAAAATGTGTTTCATCAAAATTTTGGACGGAAATATTTTCGTTAAAAGTTTTGACACAATTTAGATTCCATCAATAATTCTGACTGAATTTTTTTTTCGTACAAATTTATGTTAGTGATTATGGCAAAATTTGGTTCTGTCTCTAATTTTGTCTTTAGTTTTGACGTGAAATTTTTAACATATATGATTTTCATAAAAAAATTCATCACTATTTTTGACGAAATATTTTTCGTCAATAAATTCTGTCGGTATTTGAGACTTTTCTAATAATATCGCGTTTAAAAATGATTCACAATTATGTAGTTTTAACATTTTAATGCTAAAGGTAGATAAATAATTTTTAATATTTTTTCCTTCAAACCCTCCAAATTGGGAGAACTTTAATTTTAAGAAGAAGGAGGGTTTTGGAGGGTTTAGTAAAAATTTTCAAACTCTTCCCCTCTTTTTTTTAAACTCACAAACAAGGGAAGAGCTTACTAAAACTCTCCATTCCCTTCTCCTGCTAAAACCAACTCCCAAACAAAGCCGGATTGTGAGATAGTTCAAATTTTTATTTATTTTTTTTATTTGTAATGAACTAAATATTTAATGTTCATGTTTAAATTGTAATTATATATTATTTTTTTGCATGTGTGTCCCCCTCTTTTATTTAAATAAATGACACAGCCTAATTATATTGTCTTTTAGATGTGTGAATGTAGTATAAAATCACAATATAAGTAATTTGATTTGTCAAAGTATAATTAATTATGTCAATTACAAAATAATATGTGATTCAATTTCATTTGATTTGTTTGTATAAAATAATGTGGATTAGATTATCGGCAAAGTTAAAGAAATAATGTGTAATGTGTAATGTGTGCAGTAAATTTAACATCATTACGATTGGTTTTTATGTTATCACGAATAGGAAAATTTCTTTGGTATTTCTGTTTAAGGGTGTTAACGAGCCGAGCCGAGCCGAGCTTTACTCTTAGAAGGTTAAGTCTGTATTTAAATGGATCATCTTGACGAAGCCTGTTACCCATTATAAATATAATTATTGGCCCGTGACCTGTCTTATTTTCAAGAAATAAAAGCCTGACTTAGCCTGTTAGCCTATTTTAAAAATATAAGACAATAAAATTTATCCAAACAGAATATATAATCAATAACACTAGTAATTCCATAAATATTCATAAATTCAATGTATATCCAAACAACATAATATAGAACAAAATCATTCAAAGACTCTGTTGAACCAATAAAATGGGATGAAATGGATTGAGGAGAAAGAGAGGGCTATTACAAGTAGTATAAAAAATATAAAATTAAAATAAAAAATAATATACTAGGTCGGCTTGAGAGGCTCTAAGACCGAGCTTTTGAATTGGAGCTTGATGCCTTTTTATTAAACGAGCTTTTATACAAGTTCAAGTCGTCTGATGCCAACAATCAATTTTAGACATGTAAGCTCAGGCATTCACGAGCCGAGCTAAAAGCCCTTGGCTCGTTTAACACCTCTATTTTTGTTATACTAAACTCGGAACATTATTTTCCCAAATTGAATTTTTTTGATTCCATTTGAATCCAAACATTTTTTCATATTTTCCTTTAAATTCAAAATTTTTCTTTTTTATAAAAAATGTTTGATTCAACTGTGGTACCACCGAAACTCTCCATGAATAGGAATATAGAAGTTAGCATTATTTAATAAGAGTTAATGAAAATTTATAAATATGTGAATTAGATTATAGGCACAATTGAGGATTACTGGATAAGGTGTGGATCACTTGTATTGGCTAATAGGAGAATATAGAGCCCAATTCGATGAGTTTTTTTTTTTCTTCAAAAACTATTTTTTTTAACAAAAAAAAACACTTTCGGTAAAAAAATATGTTTGGATGTTTATTTTTTTTTTAAAAAGAAAAAAGTTATAAAAAAATTAAAAATATGCTCTTTTTGGAAGCTAGAAATTTTAACTTCTAAAAAAAATATAAGTCAAAAAATGAAATATTTTTTTAAAAATCTCAATAATTTTAATTTTTATAAAAATCTCAGAAATTTTAATTTTTATAAAAAATACTTCTAAAATAAATAAGACATAAAAATTACTTTTTTTTAAAGCCGATCCAAATATACGAAATTCGCTAAACAAAACGAATAAAGATTCAAAATAATCACAGCTTTCAAATTGGCTAAACTAGAGGTCACAAGTCACAACGACTAAGTACTCAGCGAAAAAGAAAATGACAGAATAAAAAAAATATCCATACGAAAATAAAAAATAAGAGAAAAAAACAAAAAAAAAAACTCAATAAAAAGTATTCCGAAAGCTAAAAAAAAAAAAAAAAAACACCAAGTTTAACTGATGTGGGAAAGACTGTATGGAGTACATATGTGGGGTTTTTTTTTTTTTTTTTTGGAAACTACATATGTGGGTTTTAGTCTTCTGTTAACTGCACTTGGTTATATAATTAAATTTTATTTGAAGTTTAATTTTATGATATAATTTGATAGTTGAATATAATATTCTTAGAGATGTTAATGGATGCTTTCTGGGATAGCATGTACGAAAAGCAAGCTGAAATTATAAAGTTCACACGGGAAAAAAAGAGAGAGTCGCAACCACATCAAAATAATCTTAAAAACTCCTTCACATGCAGCTAACTCAGAATCTTGAAGAATGATCCTATTGGAACAACAGAATGCTATTCAAAGATAAGTATTATAGGTTGTAGTAGCGAGGATGAAATTAACGACGGAATTTTCATAGCAATTCTCTCACTATACAAAATTTTTCTAGTAGTTCAAATTCGTAAATTCAACTAAGTATGTTCATAATAGGTTGTTTGGCTGCTATTATTTAATTGACTGTTAGGCCACCTTAAGTGGCTGTTAGCTACATTTAATTGCAGTAGTTGTTTTTGTCTTTTTGTAGTTGATCGTAGTCGATTGTAAATAAAATTTGTGTATAAGTACAGCAATTGCTTATGGAATAACAGAAACTTAACCATATTTCTTGTCAGATCCTTTAGTCTTTAGGTATATTAAAAAGTTGAAATTGATCTACGGTATGAAAAGCAAGAAGACCATGCAATGGTCGAAATCGAAATCGAAATCAGAATAATACGCTAAAATTAGACAAGAGTAGTGCATGTTTTGCTGCTTCAACTTGATCAAACTGGACCACATATAACCAACCCCATGTGGTTAGGCTAAAATTGGCCAGCCAAGGTTTGCGAAATGCGTAGTTTACATCTTAAGTTAACTTACTGGTAGTCGGTTAATAAATTTAGGGTACTATCGTTGTTGAGGGAACCACATCTATTGTTCTTCTAGAGGCTCAAATACATTGAAGCAAATGACTTTACCTCGAAGACAAAGCGACACAGTTCATTATTTTTCCTCCCAAGCTACCCAAACATTTGAATTGAAAAAATGGGGAGGGTTATATTTATAAACTTTTTTGTTTACAAATTCTTACAAATTATACTATGTTCTTTCAAAAGTATATAGTGTAATTTGTAAAAATTTATAAAAAAAATTTATAAACGGATCCTTCCTCTTGAAAAATAGTATTTCAGGTTTTGAAGTTGTATGTACACTCCAAGGAACGAATAGCAAGCTCAATATATTACATAAGGCCCATAACACATGATTCACTCCACGAAAAGCTACCCATAAATGACCATTTCCAAAAGTTTAAGCGGTTAGGTGTTATATTTCTTTAATATATATGAGAGACCATTGGACTTGAAAAATAAATGACAGCATTAAACTCAGTTTATCAGTATTAAAAAATGTCATAATATTTAATTATTTTTATTAATAAAATAAGAACGATAAGGATTGAACGCATTACCATTTAGTTATGTTGATATCATATAAAGAATCATTTCAATTCAAAAACTTAAATAAGATTATATTAATAATTTTATATTTATCTAAAGAATACCTCAGCCAAAATTATTTGAATTAACAAATATTATTTCAATTTTATCAAGTTGTATGTACGCTCCAAGACACCAATAAGAGGTTCAATACTTCAATTGATACGCTATATAAGGACACAGGGCACACATCTCTACTCCACAACAGAGAAGGGCAGAGAGAGAGAGAGAGATGGAAAAGAGCAAGGTGCTTATAGTTGGGGGAACAGGGTACTTGGGAAAAAGGTTGGTAAAGGCGAGTTTAGCTGAAGGACACGAAACATTCATTCTTCAGAGGGCAGAGATTGGGGTTGACATTGAGAAAGTTCAGCTTCTCTTGTCATTCAAGCAACAAGGAGCTCATCTCGTGAAAGGTTCCTTGGATGACCATCAGAGTCTTGTGAACGCTGTAAAACTAGTTGATGTTGTGATTTGTGCCATATCTGGTGTTCACATACGCAGCCACCAAATCCTCCTACAACTTAAACTTGTTGATGCAATCAAAGAAGCTGGAAATATCAAGGTAATATTAACCTTTTACAAGTATCACAGTCCAATATAATCCACCAAGTCCTTATTTACATGAAATTAAGTCTTATCATTGCTCTCATCATTATAAGAAATTTCATGAATTGATAGTGTTAAGTCAAATAATATGAACTCTGTGCACAGAGATTTTTCCCCTCAGAGTTTGGTACAGATCCAGCAAGAATGGCACATGCATTGGAGCCTGGAAGAGTAACATTTGATGACAAAATGGTAGTGAGGAAAGCCATTCAAGAGGCTAATATACCATTCACCTATATTTCTGCTAATTGCTTTGCTGGTTACTTTCTTGGTGGGCTGTGTCAACCTGGCTTTATAATCCCCTCTAGGGATTCTGTGGTCTTGTTTGGAGATGGAAACGTAAAGGGTAACTAGCTAGCTATGTACTTTCCAAATTCATAATGTTCTGTGATTCTTAAAATTGTTTTGCATGATGTGTGTGTATGTACTTGTTTAAAGAATATAAAAGTGTGTTAAATTTGGCAGGGATCTATGTGGAGGAAGATGATATAGCCATGTATACTATCAAAACCATAGATGACCCCAGAACTCTAAACAAGACAGTTTACATAAGGCCACCTGAAAACATATTATCACAGAGAGAGGTTGTTCATATTTGGGAGAAACTGATTGGTAAAGAGTTGCAAAAATCTTCAATTTCGGCTGAACAGTTTCTAAGCTCCTTGGAAGGTGAGATCAATATCACATTGTGCCGACAATATTATTTGCACATCATATTTTTTATCATAGAAAAAATTATTTATTCTTTTAAAGCATATAAACTTAAGTTGTTTTATTTTTTTTAATTATGTACTTTAAGAGAATTCATAATCACAATATTAGAATTACTTTTTTTTCTCTCTTGAGAAATTTGTCGGCTGATAAGGAGAGAGAGAAAAAGCAATTTTCATATTATAATTATGTACTCTTTGAAATATATAATTATAAGAGATGAAATGACATAAGTTTATATCTTTTAAAATGACATACACTAAAACCTTTATTATAATATGGGTTGTGTTTGATTGTGTTCTGATTATTTTGTTCTGAAACCTGTTTTATATAATAGTTAATAAAATAAATGATTTTTTTTTTTAAAAGTCAAACACAAAACAAAAACAATTCAGATATGATCTCTAAATTTTATTTTAAAAATGAATAAATAGTTATAATTAAAAAAAAAAAAGATTACAAAACAAAACTTATTAAACATTTTTTTTACTTTTTTGTTCTAAATGTCAAAATTTTATTTTTCAAAACAAATTTAAAACATACCCATAAATTCCTGAAAGATTTGGTCTTAATTTGCTATCCACACTATATTCCTTTTTTCCTTGTGGAACACCCACTTTCTCTCACACTTACTAACTGTTTGGATGATTTATTTATTTATTTTAGTTTCTTTTCTTTTTATAAAGTAAAAAATAAGCTAAATAAATTTTTACAAAAGTTTTTATAATAAAATCAGCTATTTTTTATAATAATAAAAATTCAAAAGCTAAAAGATCACGGGAGGAACTTTTTTTAAGTTCTTATCAATTTTTCTTAACATGAGATTTGAGTTTTTAAATAACTTTTAAGCTGAAATTTTTATGTAATTATCAAATAACTTTTAAGTTTTTTTAATCTCTTTTCTTTTAGTCTCAGCTTAAAAGTTGCTTTTAACTTAAAAAAGAGAATATTCCAATAGACTCTTAGGCATTAGCCCTCACTCATCAATTTTGGAGCTACGCATGGGTCAAATTAAATTGAATTTTTGAAGAATTAACAATTTGGTTCAATAAACCAAACTTTTTTTTATTTTTTTCAAATCAGTTTGGTTCGGTTCAAAATAGTTCAGGTTGGTTCAAAACGGTTTGGGTTAGTTCGAAAAAAGTCTGGTTTGATTCGGAACCAGTTTAGAGCGAACTTATTTTAAAAAGAAAAGAATAATAAAAAATAAAAGAAGCCACTAAATAAATAAATAAGAAAAATAGAAAAAAAATAATTAGATTCTTGAACTGATTCTGAAAATCAGTTCGGTTCAGTTTGTAAACTGATTCTTTAAAAAATTAATTATTTTAAGTGTAATTTAATTGAGTTCATAATTTAATTCAATTTTTTTTATTATTTTACACGCCAAAATCATCGTTATGAAAATATCTTTTCAGTGGTAAAGGTGTACCGAGCACTCCATTGGTACACTCTATCAAATATGGCAAAAAGCAACTCAATTACACTCTTATTTTTATGATTATTTTCTTTTATATTTTCTTTTCCTATTTGATAAGGAAATACCTACTCTTATTACACTGACAATTCTAGCTGTCATCATTCTCTTGTATAATTCAGATTCTCTGCCTCTCTCTCTCTCATCTATAATCTTATCTCATTATCTGTATGACTGTATCCATCTATGTTCTTTTTACATATAATATAAAAAATATTTCAATATGATTATTATGTTACAATTTTTTAAATTTAATTTTTTTTCTTTTTTATTATATAACTCTAATTTCTTTTCGGCTCTCGACTTTTCATTTTTTATTGATATCTTTTTTGACTTTTCTGTAAACTTTTTAATTTTTTTACCATAGAAACCAAAAGTGTGTCCTTTTTAATGAATTAGAAAAAACATACATACTTTAATACAAAATATACATTTGTAAAATGTCTTTAAATATTATTTTTACACACATATATATATATATATATATAAAATATTATATATATTTTGGTAAGGGCTTTACTTCTCTCATGCTATAGGAGATATGTTATCTTATGTTGTGAGATAAATTAAATGGAGTCCACCAATTTTTTAAAAAAGAAAAAGAAAAAAAGAGAGAGGCACATCTTTTTATGTGAGTATGACATGAGGGATATATCTTATGTAACATAAGAGTATAATTTCCCTTTTGTTAATGATATAATTTTCTTGAACTAAAAGAAGAATGTTTAAATAATGGGAAAAATATGTATCAAAAGATATAAAGTCGTGTCATTTTAAGTGAGAAAAAAAAAAAAAAACATGAGAGAGAATATATTTTTTGTAAAGATGTAGATCACACCTATTTGTGATAATAAAAGAATATAAAACATTTATCTCTTAAATAATATTATAATTAGGACTGCTCTTCTTAGTAAAAAGAAGTACAGTGTGTTTACCGAAAAAAGAAAGAAAGAAGAAGTACAGTGTGAATGAAGAAAACCGTGATGTGCCCATAAGTTATGATACGACCCCCCAGTGTGCCTCTAATAAATTTTAAGTAGTAGTTTATTATCTGATCCATATTAACATCCTAAAAAGTCCACATAATATAAACCATGCTTTAATAATTGCGATTATAGCATCAAATCAAATAAATTTGAGTATATTGTTAGTTATGCAAGTATTTGCCAATTCTTTGTTGACAAGTGTTTCTAAGGATAAATTATTGCATGTTTTGTGGAGCTTCATATGAGATCATTATTTACATTTTGATATTTTATCCTTTTTTAATATTAAGATTCATCATTCACTTGCATATTTAATAATTCAGTCTTGTTTTTTATTTTAAACACTAAAAGAAATAAATATATAAGTGAGCAATTAGTCTTATCATTAATTAAAGCTAAAATGTTAAGAGCTAAAAGGAGTGCGCACAAACTTACTTGACGTTTTAGGAGTATGTGTAATAATTTTTAGTCTTAAGGGCACGAGTTAGTAAATATTTAATATTTTTCATGAAATCATTTTAACTATTCCATCCTTTTAAAAATAATTTACCTTGAAGGTTTTATACAATGATTAAGAAGATCAACAAATACTTTTGATTTTAAGAAAAAAGAAGAAGTTAATTTGACTATATTATCTTTAATGCTCTGTTATTTCACTTAATGGAGATATTAAAAGATAAAGATAAAATAAAAATAACAATAATTAATATTTTCTTGATTTTCTAAAGTGATTAATAATTTAAAATAAATTAAAACTTTTAAAGTGATAATCAGTTTAAAACGGAAAAATATTTGAAGTGATGAATATTAACATAAGATTTTTTTATAAATACGAAATAACATAATAAATAAAGATTTTGATTAATATATGATGTCTTCAAGGAAAAGTTATCAAAAGATAATTAAGATAGAATTAGAAAATTATTTTATAAAAAATAAAAGTAACCATTTTAAATATTTTTATGTCCTAAAAGAATTTAATTGACATGTATTGACTTTTTTCATTTAAATTATATATAAAGTTAAGAGATGAATTTAAATATTATTATAAATAAAATAAAACAAAACAAAATCCAATCGTATAATTATCAAATTTTAAATATAAATCTCTTTAGGAATTGATATTTCTCATGCGAGCCTAAGATAATTTATGTCTTCTACTCTCATAAAAGTAGATAGAACTTAATTTTTTTTCTTGGGTTTTACTTTTCTTCTGTGAAAGAAGATAGCATGCTTTTCCTGTGGACTGAAAATTGACATGGGTCCATTTAATTTTTTTTCTCTTTCTTGTTTTGGTGGGTCCCATTGCTAGTTTGTGAGTGTAGTTGGAGAGAAAAAATTTCCTATAAAAAGAGATTAATAAACCCCTTTTTTCTTTCTGTCTCTTCTTCTCTCCTCGAAGAACTCCATCCACTCCGAGGTGTGTATAAGAGTTATCTCCTACTAGTAAAAGAAACATTAGACCCATCTTTCTATAATATTTTGTGCTATGTTTAATAGTTTTTACCGAACATTATCTTTTTAAATATTTTGACTATAAAGTTTTTCTAAAGAAAAATAAAGTAATTGCATTAAATACTTATTTATTAAAAAAAACTGTAATATAGATATTTGATTTAAACAACTTGTGCAATAGGCAGGTAGGATTACAAGGGTAAAATAACTAGTCCTATTTTTATTTTTTGTTTTTAAATTTCAATAATATTTTCTTGTGAAACACAGGACAACCGTATGCGGAGCAAGTGGGAATGATACATTACTACCATGTTTGCTTTGAAGGCTGCCTCGCAAATTTTGAGATTGGAGAAGAACAGCTTGAAGCTTGTCAACTGTATCCTCAAATCAAGTACACTACCGTTGGCGAGTACATGAAACGCTATGTTTAAAAGTTTTTTATTTGTTTACCTTATGTATCTCTTTAGATCACAGATTGGGTTGAACTTAATAAAAACTGCGTGATGTGTAATTGTAAACGAGACCAAAAAAATGGCATACACAATATTTGATCATGTTCTCTACTATTGCAAATACAATACAAGGATGTATATTGTGATCATGAAACGATGTCTTATTATTAATAATATGTCTTGTGCATGAAATTAATTTTATGTGCTATGTCTTATTGATTGTTGTAATGATTTCTTGACTTTTCTCCATAAACGTAGTTGGTTAATTCATTCATTTATTCTCGCGCGAATATGGACATATTGAAGCTTGTTTCAACTGCTTGGTCGTTTCATCTATATTCTTGTGCGGGATTGGTTTACAACTTACCGGTCAATTAATGACGTTGTTGTTCTTACGGAAAATATAATACGTCCTATAATTAAGGTCATTGGTATTGGAACAGTTCCATTCAAGATGTGCATGATGGAATGGTGAGAACTTTGTCAAATGTTCGGCACATACCAAACTAAAAAAAAGTTTCATTTCTTAAGGCATTCTTGATTAAACAAGGGTACGTATGTGTTCTATTAAAGGCAACGTTCTGATGGTCTCCAAATATGCTATTATCATGATAGGTAGATTTTGGTTAATGGTCCTTAATTCTTTATGGTGCTACATCAGGTATTATCTGTATCTAATTTAGATACTACTAGGATACTAGCTTGTGGCACATGTGTCCAATGCATATAAGGGATACTGAAATGTCAATTTTGAGCAAGCTAAACTGTTCCCGAAATTATGGAGCTTGATAAACTTAGAGGAGCTCATTATTTTCACTTCTTTTTTTTTTTAAGTTTTTCTCTTCTTTATCTTTTTACTGTTGTTTATTTTTAAGGAAAAGTTCATCAATGTCTTTATGATTTGCTTCAGAAACCCATGTGATTTTTTATTTATCACATATGTCTCTGTAATTTGTAAAAAATAAAAAATCACATGAGAATATATGATAAAGAATCATACTCTTTTGCAAATCACATGGGCATATGTGATAAAAAAAAAAATTACACGGGTATATATGATTCTGGAGGAGCATTAATGAACGTTTCCCTTATTTTTAATACTTTTATTCCCTTTTTCTTTTTCTTCTCTTTCATTTTAGCTTTTGAATCTCTCTTTTGGTTTTGAATTAAGCTTTTGAGGAAGTATGATCGCTTTTGTATGTTTTATTATATTTCCCTTGTGAAATATTTGGTTGTGGTTTTTGTCTGTAGACAAGGGCAGTGAGCCGAACTCCATAAACTCCTTATGACCCAAACTGAAAAACTGTAAGACTTATATTAAATAAAAATATTCAAATAAATATAAAAAAATTCAGAATGTTTCTCAGTTTTTGTTTTTATTTTAGTTGAAAACAGAAAAAGAAATGAAAAATAAAAGAAGATTTTAATTATTCTCATTTTCATGTTTAAAAAATGAAATTTCTTTTTTAGAAATTATTAAAATAACTAAAAAGTTTCAAATAATAAACAAATAAATTATCTTGATAAGTTTATTGAGTTTTTATTTTTATTTTAAGTTTTAGTCTGCTTGTCTTTCGAGAATTATCTATTTTATATCTGTTTGGATACTCTCTTTTTTTAAGCTACAAACTACTTATGAACTAAAGCTAAAAAAAAGAAGAAGCTAAAAACTGTTTGTAATTACATATAATTTTTAGCTTAAAAAAATACATATTTCAAGAAAATTATCTCTCTCTATCTTTATAACTCTTCATTTAAAAAAAACACGTAATTCAATAAAAATATATAAGAACTTAAAAGAAAAAACTCCTCCTAAAAATTTTTAGCTTTTAACTTTGGGGTTTGCATCTATCATGTCACATGACACAAAAAAATTTCCTACACACACAACATTTTGTGGAGCCCGCACTTTTTGAAACAAAAAAAAACTAAGACACGCAAAACGAATCTCTATAACATTACATAATCACTTTTCTTACCGTATAACTCTTATAAAAACCCTTTAACTTTTCTTAAAACTATTTGACCTAACTTTTCTTGTAAATAGTTTCTATCTTTAAAAAAATAGAGATACAAACATGCACAAATTCTAATGCTTAATATGCTAGACCAAGTGATGAGTTTGTCTTCATCCACGTAACCCCCACCATGTCACTTACAACCACTTCTTTTCAGTTTGATTATTATTAAACTTGTTGGCACTTCTGACTGAATAAGAGGTGCTGCTTGAAAATGGTTTTATCCAGTACCATTATTCTTTCTACTTCTCCATTTCCATCCCCTTCCGTACCAACTTCAACGGTAAGATGTTATTGAACATTCTAACCAAATTGCCATAAAATTCACAACATATAACGGGGAAGAAAAAAGGGTTTAATTTTCTTAAAATTTGGCTTAAAATATGCCTGCCAACTGTCATCATCTTGCACCTGATTGCTTTTCTGAATCTCTAGGTTGTCAAGTTGGAAACTTTTAATGGTGGGGTTATCGGAATTAGAGGAGTTACTGCTTCTTCAATGGCATCCGGAAATCGAAAATTAGCAACTTGTTATGTTTCGGGAGATGGCAAAGGTGCCTCTGTTGAGACTGATGTACCTTTCCCTATTGATTACTCTGAGCTTCTGGAACAAGTAAGTATGTTTCATGATCCTCCCTTTGCTTCAATTTTTTGTTAATTGTAACATTTAGCTTTGATATTGATGGCTCAATGTAGTGGTGGTTTGGTTATGTCAATCTTGTGTAGTGTAACAGTGTAAGTAAAATTTACTGAACCATAAATTTTAAAAATAAAAGGTAGCATTTGTAGTTCTCTGTAATGTACCAGATGCTAATGGAGCACTAAAATTCGTGTTTTTGTTAATGAATCAACCAACAGGCTAGACTAGCAGTGGAATTGGCTATGAAGGATAATAGACAGCTAATGGTGAGTAATATCTGATAGTAATTTTATTAGGAAACAAGAATCAAAGTTACACACACCAAACTGAGGAGGCAATCTATTATAGAGCCTGTAATGAACAACAATCTTATACAGGAGATTGAGTTTCCCACAGCTGGACTTGCATCCGTACCAGGTTCTCTTTAATTCTCTTTTCTCCTTTTGGTTTGAGTCCCATTTTACCGTTGTTTCAATCTATTTTTGTAAATGGATTCATCTCACTGTTATATCAGGTGATGGTGAAGGTGGAATAGAGATGACTGAGAGCATGCAATTGATTCGTGAATTTTGCGACCGCTTCATTATTTCAGAAAAAGCCACACGAACAAGAATAGTAATCCTCTTCATTTAGAGCATCATTCTTCTTTATGCTCCCAGCATGCTTTTCTGGATGACAATGCCTTTCTCTACATGTGAAATGTTCTATGGTTAAGAGAACCACGTATGTATCCCGCAAGGGGTATAGTATGTTTATATAGGGATATTCTTTGTAGCAATGGTATTGACCAAGGCCTTTACAAAGTTTCCCAGGTGCTATATAACAATAGGGGGTGGTGTTTAATGGCTACCGTGGCTCTTCAAGTGGACAAAGTAGCAGCTCATAGAAGTAATAGAATAGTGATGATCTCTCATTTGAGTGAGAGGGGTATTTATAGGTAGGGTTTGACTTTCTCAGCATAGAAAGAGAATAAGGAAGGAGGGGACAAACAATACCACCGTAGCCTGGCCTTGCTGGAACAAGACGCATTGCAGCCATTGTCAGTATACAATGGCTGCTTGTGCATGGGAAATGAGGAGGATATCCCTTGGGAGGCATTGTTTGTCTCCTTGGGAGATGCCCTCTGTAGGCCCTCAAGTATGAGCTCATCATATTGGGCCTAGACCATAGGGCCAATCAATTGGGTTGGCCAGAACAACATTTAAAAATTTGTTTGTGTTTCTTGCTTTTCTTTCACTTAACATGGAAGTTGAATTTGGTATAACTTTTTTTAAGAAAAAAGGAATCTTAACATACAATCTAATTAAGTTTACAGTTAGTTTCAAGTCTATTATTCTATAACTCCAATTGAGAGTATGTAAGCTTCCATTATGATCAGTACAACCAAGAGCCGAGATTTTATCATTGGGGATAATCAATTGTTTGATTGGTTCAAAAAGCTCTGACTTTCTCCTTTATGCATGTGGTATCCTCTTTCTTCATATGTGTGTTATCCACAAAGTTATTGCAGTTATTCAAAAGTTTCGCTTGTTCTGTAGAGATGGCCATGCAAAAGTTTTTATATTCATAATTCAGATTCATCACCTCATGTTGAAATTGATGCATAACCTTGTAAAAATCAGTTTTTTCCAGAGGCTAGCGAAGTTGACTTTGCCAGACAATCAGCCTTTAGTGGAGCTTCTTTTAAATTGGACTATCTCACAAAGCCTTCATTTTTTGAAGATTTTGGTTTTGTTGAGAAAGTAAAAATGTCAGACAGAGTGAAGGCAGGAGATGAACTTTTCTTGGTAGCCTACCCATATTTTAATGTCAACGGTAGATCCTAACTTCCTTTGTTCTTGTTGATATAAAACAATGGAAGTTCAATGACTACTATTTCATTGTATTTCAGAAATGCTTGTTGTGGAAGAGCTTTACAGAGAGGCTGTTCTGAACACTGAACGGAAACTGATTATTTTCAATGGAGAACTCGATCGTATAAGATCTGGTTGTATCCTTTGCCAAATTGTGTGGCTTTTTAATGTTTAAGCTGGATCTACCTGTTCCTATCCAGCATTTATTTAGACTTCTTTTCTTCAAAAAAAATAAAAAATTTGTAGTAAGTATTTAGAAAATAGGCACCAGAGAAAATAATGTCGAAGATGTGTGAGAAAATGAGTTTTACAACATCCAAAACTCTCAAACTCCGTCTGGGCTTACCCTGATATTCGTTATCCTTGAATGGATCAAGATTATCCACCGTTCTTCTACCCAAAGCTTGCTGCACTTACGAAGACCTTCCTACCTATGGCGGAAACTGTGTATTACATTCATAATTTCAAGGGTCGCAATGGAGGAACACTTTTCAGGTTTGCTAGCTAATTAACTCCAATCAGTCTAATATGTTTGGGAGGTCATGCTTGATGTTGTGTTAATATGGGAAATATTCAATAGGTAGACTTATTTCGAGGGCGAGTCTGGGGCACTGGTAAAGTTGCTCCTTAGTGACCAGAAGGTCACATGTTCGAGTCTGGGTGTCTTGTGTTGTTGTGCATGTGATTTTTTTCATTTGTCCTTTAGGTAGACTTAGTTTAGTTTAATATAACTGCTTATGAAACATGTTTTATTTATTTATTGTTGAGTGCATATACCTCTTATGTGTTGTGCGTTTGTTACTTTTTGCATAGGTGCTATCCAGGACCTTGGAAGGTGCTCAGAAGAGTGGGAAGTAATAAATATGTTTGTCTACATCAGCAGGATACTATGCCATCCCTCAAGGAAGTTGCCCTTGAGATTCTTCCTACAACTTGATAATTCAGGAAACCGAATTGGTAATCAATTCTAGTTTCTTTCGTGCCGTAGCTTAGTTAAATCCATATCGGTGTCATTTTCAGAGCTACAATATTGTTTTGATTTATATGCCTTTTAGACAAGAAACAATATTGGCAATAACTTCATGTCAATAAAGAACAACTCACCCTACTTTTTTGTTTACGAGGAAGGAAGATTGATGAAAAGCAAGTTTATTAAAACAAAGAAGAATCTTTTATGTTAATATAATTTATGTACTGATGAGCAACAGGGGTTGGTCTCCAGCTCCTTATGTAGTAGAGATTTAGAAAGAAGTCTACAGTTGGCATTTGATTAACGAAGTATTGAAGTTGTGGCCCAAAGGAATGGAATTTTCTAGCAAAAAATGGTGTCAATAGAAAGAAGTCTACACTTGGCATTTGTGCGTCTATGTACTATTGTGCAGAACTTTATCGGACAATCATTGAATTGATGTGTTTTTGTTAGAATACTAATGAAGATAGTTTTCTATATTTTGAGGCACTGTTTCCCACTGCAAAGAAAGCTTATCTATATTTTGGATGTGTCCTTGAACTTTTACCATAATAGTGCAGGAGATGATGATACATTCAAATCTTTGTATCTCATGTACAATATGACTACTATAGAGCCAATAGTAAGAGTATTCTAAACACCATTCATAACTTCCAGAGTAAGATTCATTTACATTAAAGGATTTTATTAATCTCATATAACATCAGAGAAACTTTCTTATGTCATAAAGATAGTCATGTGTGGACCCATTCACTTATAAAAAGAAAAAAAAAAGTAACACCGAAGTCGATGTATGTGTAGGAGAGAAAAATACTCTCCTACAACATAAGAATATATTTTCCCTACATTAAAATAGGTTAAAGTGTAAAACATTTTAAGGGAGGAAAATGTTATTTTTCAAAATAAAATAGAAGATGATGTAACTTAAACATATCCCATGAGAGGGGAGTATTATTTACTTCTTCTTTTTTTGGTAAAACAGAAAAGAGTGGACCAATATACATATATAATTATATATAGTACCAAGTACCGAATTAATAAATTTCAAACCAACAAAATAAAAGAAGAAATGTTCCCACCGCTGGTCTCTTGGAATGAACGTACAAGAAGAATTCATTATCTATACCTTTATTCTCCACTTTCAGTTTCTTTGATAGTGTTGAGCAATGAGAACATTGCATGACCCTATGCATAAACATTTTTTGTGGTTACACACGTTCAGCATAAAATAACCAAACACCAAGTTTCTCATTTCACGTGAAAATCGAATTCCCGATTACCTAATTACTTGGAGGGAAATGTATTTTTTATGTTGTTGCAATTTTATTTTTTTTTCAGCAACCAATTATAACTATGTATTCTAGGAAATACATAGATATAATCGGGAAAAAAAAATATTTCTCTTTTCACGTCAGCAGATAATTTCTAGAAAAAAGAAAGAAAAAATTAAAATTATAACTACGCTGCAAAAATAATGTTTGCATCAACAAAAGAAAAAAAGGACCCTACTTGAAAGTGGCATCATCGTTGTCCCGCGCCTTCTCAACTTTCAAAGCAATCTTACTAATATAAAAATGTTACTAACATTCGTGGCTTAGTAGAGCCATCAATCATCCTATTCAGCATTTTATTTGTTCCATTTCTCAGATTTGCAAATGGATGATCTTTGCTTAATATTTTGATTGATAACTTGAAATCTTTTGCCCAAGATCAGCTTGCAACCTTTTTGCGTGTTCATCAACATACCCAAAAGTTAACCGCACATCTCACTGCAATCCATGCTTTCTCCAAGATGCTGAGGAAATGCAAATGACAAGTCATGACCATGCCTTGTAGGATTGGCTACAGAAGCTCTCAGATGCGGCATTGTTCTTGAAGATATATTGGACCAATGTTCTGTACAATCCAACCGACATAATTCACAAAGTAGCTGACAATGTTCAACAGGCCTTCAATGATGAGAGAGTAAGCAAACATTTTGAGTAGAAAGTCTGGGTTTGTGTTTCTGATTTTTTTTTTTTTTTTTGGAAACAAGTTTCTGATTATTTCAGTGTGAAGAGAATACTACAATCCGTCTCAGAATCTACCACCAGACCCTGACCTCGAGACTTTAGAAGCAATGCAAATAGTTCGAGAAGCATTGCGTAGCAAAATATATTTACTTATTCTAGACGATGAGTGGAATGAAGACCGTGACAAAAGGGACAAGTTGAAGTCTTACTTGCAGTGTGGGAGTGGAACAAAAGCACGTGCGAAGACTTCGAGTTTTCGCAATTCCTAAAAGTGTAACTATGTAGTGTATGTTTTTTACTTAGTAAACAGAGACTAGCTGTCAACAAGGTGTGGCACAAGTGGCTAAGGAGTCGGTCCATACCCCAAAAGGGCGTGGGTTCGACTCCCTCTGGCCGCTTTAAAGGCCCTTGTTGATGGGTAAACTGTAAAGCGGGTTTAGTTTGTCACTGTCCCTGGCGTAAATCCTCTTAGAGGTTGAACAGGTCTGCCCTGGCCCTGGCGAGTTACATACCAGTGTCGAACGTTTCTTTCGATGGCCATGCATCCCCGTTTAGTTTGATGTTTAAACTCCCTACCAATTTACTTTTAGTGCTGTAGAAGTTTTATGCATATGGAATGTGAACGAGACTCATCACGTCATATTACAGTTTGTGGATGCCCCGTTTTTATTAAGAAAGCGTATATAAAGATACAGTAACCAATGTCTGATGCAATATGCTTAAGTAAGAGAATGATTCCAATGGTTTATGGACTTTATCACAGGCTAACGTAACTTAATGTTGGGCAAAGGTTATATAGGTAGCTGCTGTATTATCTTTGAAGGTTTCTCTACCTTAAACTTTATGCGTAGACACTAGGATATTTTTCCTCATAATTTTACCAAGATCAACATTTTCAGATAATTTTCGGATTGAGTGCCTGTTTGATCAGACAACGACATATGGTGTGGGGTCACCAATAACATTATTCATCCTCAAATCAAATCAAATCAATTCATTCACACTGCTCAAACCATTCATTCTCAACCTAACAGTCAAAATGTTTTGGTTATAAATTCCTATCAGTAAGTAAAACCCATTATCAAGTTAAAGCTTTCTTTACTTGACCTTCAATTTTAGCTTCCTACAAAAACCAATCTTTCAGTCACAGACCACAACAACATACATACATACAAGCTTGAAAACAATAATGTCACCTGAAATTTGCGTAGTACCCTTCTTCGGACAAGGCCATCTCTTTCCATGCATGGAGCTATGCAATCACTTGGCTTCTAGAAACTTCACCGTAACCCTTCTCATCTCATCCACCATCGCTTCCTCTGTTCCCTTTTCTCTCCGCCAAAACCCTCTTATCCGAATCATCGAAATCTCATCATCGCCGGCGCCGCCACCTCACGCGCCCCACAACGAACTAGTCCAAGGGCTCGAAAACATCTTCTCCCGGGGACCCGATAACCCGAATCCTGCCCGACCCGTTTGTGCTATCATTGACGTCATGACGAGCTGGTGGACTGCCCACGTTTTCAAGAAATTTGAGGTTCCCACGGTGGCGTTCTTCACCTCCGGCGCATGCTCCGCCGCCTTGGAGCTAGCCACTTGGAAAGCCCACCCGTTAGATTTAAAACCCGGTGAGATCCGGTTACTTCCCGGGTTGCCCGAAGATGTGGCGCTTACATACTCGGACCTCAAACGACGACGTCACGATCCCCCTCCGCCACCGTTGGGCGGTGAACCACCGCATCATGGCGGCGGAGCTGGTTTTCCTCCAGCTCCTGGTGGACCGGGGATGGGACCACCTAAATTCGGGGAACAACCACCGTGGGTGGAGGAGGTCCGAGAAACAGTTGCGTTGGTGATCAACACGTGTGATGATCTGGAGCGTCCATTTATTGACTACATCGCGGATCATATTGGAAAACCGGTCTGGGGTGTTGGACCGCTTTTGCCGGAGCAGTATTGGAAATCGGGCGGTTCACTTCTCCACGACCGGGATGTTCGATCAAACCGGCGGTCCAGCGTCACCGAGGAAGAAGTGATCCAGTGGTTAGACTCAAAGCCACGTGGATCGGTGCTATACGTGTCGTTTGGTACTGAGGTGGGCCCTACAATGGAGGAGTACCAACAACTAGCTCATGCGCTGGAGTCATGTGAGCAACCATTTATATGGGTGCTCCAACCCGGTTCAGGTAGACCGGGTCCACCGCGTATGATCTTAGGAGGGGAAGCCGGTTCAGGTGGTCCAGAAGGAGAAGAAGGATATTTTCCTCATGGGTTGGATAGCAGAGTTGGGAAAAGGGGTTTGATAATACGTGGGTGGGCACCACAATTGTTGATACTGAGTCACCCTTCAACGGGTGGATTCTTATCTCATTGTGGTTGGAACTCAACGGTGGAGGCTATTGGACGTGGGGTCCCATTCTTGGTGTGGCCCATAAGGGGTGACCAATACCATGATGCCAAGTTGGTGGTGACCCATCTTAAAGTGGGGTACATGATATGTGATGATCTATCGGAAAGGGTAACAAAGGATGATATAGTTAAGGGAATACAGAGGTTGATGGGTGATAAAGAAATGAAGAAGACGGCTGAGATTCTTAGTGCTAAGTTTCAGCAGGGATTTCCAAGAAGTTCAGTGGATGCTTTTAAGGATTATATTAATCAGAGATTTGCCTAGGATCATTGGCCCTAATAGTATATGTTGCTTCACACAATAGAGTCAGAATAAAGCTTTCCTTTCCAGCCACTACATACATGGGTTACTGGGCTACGTGTCATTCTTTCAACTAAAATGGATTTAGTTCCCAGCCCTAGCATCCCAGTGCCAGTGTAAATTTTTTAACCATTTCAATGAATGTTAATACATTACTGCCATGCAACCAAAGGAAATTTTAATTCGATGTTTTCACTTCTCACCGTCCCTAGTCTTTGCCTACGGTATATATTCTCATTTTAGTCCAACTTCTGCTTACTGCCCCATTTTTTTTGGGAAAGAATTGAAGAAATTGAATCTATATCATTAAAAAAAAGTCACCGTGTCCGATGTCTATTGCTACTTGAAATCTTGCCAACAGAATATAGTGATTGCATTACTATTGCTACTTAATGAAATACAACAGTCACCGTTCTCATCAACTCGTCTTGTGTACTCTAGTCAAGTTTATAGTCATAATTTTCATCCATATGGACCATAACTGCAGAAGTGCTACAAATGACTTAAAATGCGGAAGAGAAATGCTACCAATATGACTTGAAACTCGGTGCATTGTTAAAGATAGTTCAGTTACAGCCTTTCGGGTAGTAGATATTAAGGAGGAGAAAGAAACTCTGCATCACTACAAAAAGTAAAAGTAATGGGAGATGCCGTGAAGGAGAAATGACTGGATGAAATGACTTGACAACTTCCCTTAATTACTGGTAGATACAAAAAAAGGTACAAAACTGTGTGGTTTGATACTTACATAATCATATGAAATATATCCAAGCATGAATAAGTTGACAAAATACAGATCCTATCAGCTTAAACAATTAAATGAACAAAATACAGATCCTATCAGCTTAAACAATTAAATGAACTAAAAAAAAAAAAAAAAAATTAAAAACGGGGTAGAAAAACATTTCCTAATATTTCACAGAAAAACCAATTATAAAACAATGAACCTACATCCCAGTAAAAAAAAAATGGTACATACGCATATTGCAAACAAATGAATTTCGTATAGATGAACAATAGAAACCACTTGGTCAGTCATGACGGATCCGGATCCAGTTTTGGGACCATGGCAGATTTGAGCTCTAAATGAGAAATACGAACAGCTCCAATAAGCCTCTCGGGCAACTCATCAGGAGTATTTGCCTGTCAATAATAACAATTTTGTCATGATTTCACAGTACATCCTAAAAGGTATCAATGAATTGTCAACCAATCCATTTTGAAAATTACAGCAATGTTTGAACTTGTCAAGCTATTATTCTGAACCAAGTACAATTTTTACCTCTCAAGGACACATGTTCAAGCATAACAGTAATGTAGGACATATAAAACAATGTCTCAATTAATGTAATAAAAAACAAAACAAAACAAAAACTCCACTATCCTGATCCAATACTCCCTGCTAAAATCCACGACATTTAAAATTTAAATCCATTCAAGATGCTCACGCCAAACTGAATGAGGATTTCTAGCAAAAACAGTATCTGTTTTGGTACAAGAACTACAAGCATCAAATTTAGTCAGACTCGTAATTAGGTAGCTATTAATAATGATTGGGAAGAGAGTAAAGCTACTATAACTATCTTATCTGATCATAACTCTGCTTCAAAGTTAATGATTTCCCATCCTATTTTCCATCCCTAGCAATACATATTATGTAGATCTATGGACAGTTACCATCCATTACTGGACTCAACTCAAGTAGCAATCAAATTCACACTTTTAACAACAATGCAATCTCATCTTATCACCTGATGCTTAAAGTTTTCCACACTATCATAATTTAAATATTTAAAAAGAGGACTTCATTTATATCATAGTAATGAGCATGTAACGCAATTTCAGAAAATACGTGGTTGCATACCATTCTAGATACAAGAGTGCATGCAAAACAGCAGCACGTTGTTGATAAATAAAAAATGTCACGAGGAGCAGACAGGCTTTAATCATTATAAACATTTAACGAATATCATAAACTTCATGGAAAACACAACAAAATTTAACCCAAAGCAAATCTTCACTATATATATTGAGAAGAGCAAGTCATTATTACATTAGCAAAGGTTTTGTTATGCAAAACTAGCTCAACTTGAAAAAGTATTTATAACTGCTAGCACTTGCAGGGTGTCAGACAATGATATTCAACAATATTTGTGAAAATCATTAGGCGGATTTGTTGTCAATTAGCAGGTCTACAGTCTGCTATATTAAAGACCCACAACCCACCAAAGTGAATTTAACTAAAATCAAGTATTATTAGCAAATGTTAAATCAAAGTCATTATGCTTTTACAAGTTACAACCACACTAGATGCAACAAGAATAAATCTTGTCCAATTGCTTCCACTTAAATCCTATGAATTGCTTAGATGTTCTTTGCTAGTACATAAAATATACACCATAAAAAACATACCTGTACAAGAAAAGCCATATCAACGACCAATGTTGTAATCACCCCAACAACCAGCCCCAAAACTCCATTAGCAACAGTAGACGAACCAATATCGACATCAATCTACAGTTAAAAACTAATTGATTAAACAATCATAGTAGACAAGTTAAGAGTACATACATCATTCATTAGTAAACTTACTACAACAAGAACAGACAACAATTTATAAAGAAGTTGAATGAAATTTTACTTCTAAATACTTGGGACCACGAATATAGTTGCAATCAACTGCCTTTCCCAGTAAACAAGGTGTACTCCCAACACTCTGGCGTACAATCCATGAGCCCTGCATTTTTTTAAGTTGGGAAATCAATTAAGGAACGAATAGAGTAAAACCGTATGTTTTTTTTCCAGCATTTAAGGAAAGATGATAGTTACAAATTTCAAAAGGAAGACGAAAAGAAAGAAAAACAAAAACCATAAATATAAAATATAAAGTAAATGAAAGAAAAGTCCTAGTCTATGAAACCAAAAAATATGGTAACCAGAGATTCAGACATATATCACTTGAAACAGACCAAAACACATATGCATCAAATTGGGTAGTAGGCAGCAACATATATCAACTTAAAGTCATGCAATTGACTGGCTATACACTTCAGCCCATTGAGTCTTGCACAAGATTGAAAGCAACAGAACAATGGGAATTAAAACCTAGTTGTATGACAAACTTTGTGAATTTTCTTTATGATAAGATGTAATCCAATCCTAAAAATGGTAAACAGCCTACGATGCACCTTCATTGGTCTAAATTTGTTCTACAATCTAGACCAAAATCAGACAAGGAGTTTGACTGCAAATAATAAGAGATCATGCTCCAAATAACCTGTCCTCGGCATGAGGAAAGTTGTTCAGAGATCCTGCATCTGCTAAATATATGAGCAAAGTACCTTTTATAATGACCGAGCAATCCTTTCCCTTGATAGCTTTTCGAGTTGAGTTTGGCCCTATCATTCTAACATGTAGTATTGTTCTAAATATATTATCCAGCTTAGGCCCATTAAGCATTGGGCCCAATAACTAAGGGGAAAACCCTAAACCCCTTTGGGGACTCTTGACAACCATCATATATAAGAGGGGTCTTCATCCCACTTATTAAGCAGCAGGTAATTATTCTACCTTACATACTACGGCTGATACTGAGTTGAACATCAAAGTGTCATATAGGTGCACAACCCCCGTTGTCCCACCAGAGCACACGGAGGAGCATCCTGGCACCACCACCAAGCACAATCACACACTATGATCAGGAATACCCATCTGTTCAAATATTAAAAATATCATACGGCTAAACTTCATAAGGAAAATCCACAAGGAGATGTGCACCAGTTATTGAAACTATAGTTTTCAAACCCACAGTATAACTCTTAAACGTTTTGCTACTCTCTTTAGTTGACCAGGAAAATTGTCAACTCTCCATCAAAACTAGCATTTGATCAAAGTAGTCAAACTCAACTCGGTCAGCCTATATTTGAGCCAGCTTTTTAATATTCTTTTACTATGCTATGCACTGGGCTGCAAAGCCCATCTAACCATTTGCCAAAGTTGAAGGGAAAAAATTTAAAAATTAAGGTCATAAAATCCTGCTTAATTATGTAATGCAGTATGAGTATGCAACTATAAAATTTATGAATCTTGTTACTAGACTTATATTAATATGGTCTTAGTTTTCTTCACACATTTTTCCATTTTATGCATTTAAAGCAAAATTTTAATATGATATCAATAATATGCTCCGCTTTTTGAATCAAAGCTTCCGGCTCCCCCTTTGAATTTCCAATTCCTCCTTTTTGTTTTGGAGCAAATATATATCATGTCAATTGCTCAAACATAATTTTGCTATCGTACGTGCTGAATTTGGTTTTTTCAGTGTTATCATTGAAAAATGTAGGCATTTTCCGTGCTTCTTGGGATAGCGACAGAAATGACCAATTCAACCAAAACTACTGCAGCATAAAGATTACAGTCCTGCTTCATATACCCTTAACTCTAACAAGTTTTTATTTTTTTATTGTAACGAATCAATTTAACCCAAAAGCTTAAGTTGTTAGACGAAGGCCATATTAATGATTTTATATTTCTCGAACATGTCTCCTTACACAAAAGCACATTGGGCTTGAAATGCACAAGTCAACCTACTTGTGCTAAAAAACTCTACAATTTTACTTATTAATTAATAGGATGGGAGACAATGAGCATCAATCTCATGACTCACTTGGTCAGAAAGGTTTTAATACAATGTAAAGAACCAATTCAACCCAAACGCTTAAACGGTTAGGTGAAAACCACGTTAATGGTTTTATATAACATTTTTTCATACTTGCCAGAGATTTGAGAGTTTAACCTTCAAGAGGATGCCAATTGACATACCAAAGAGAAGTAGAATTTCCATTTCCCATCATATATTTTATCTTGTCTTGTGCACGGGATCTCAGTTTCAGTATTTTCCTCCACCTCCGGGAGCATGGTGGCCAATGTCCTCAGACCCATAACAGGAGTAGAACAAAGCTATATTTTTTTTATTAGATATTTATTGTTTATGAAACCGATAAGCTCAATGAGTTCCCCAGTTGAGTTTAACTTTAACCCACTCCCCCCCCCCCTCCCCAAAAAAAACACAAAAAAAAAAAAAAAAACCATACATTAAGTTCACTTGATCGACAATCTTGCTTGTAAAATAAGGTATAGAGGGTGGGGAAAAATGGTTCCCTGTAATCAAATTATGAGACTAACATTAAATCTGAAAAATACAGAAAGAAAAATGCTAACGGAAAAACACACAAGACATAAAAGATCCTCCTCAAAATTGACCACATGGAGAATATATTTAAAAAAAATGATGAATGAAAGAAACAAAAGGCACAGTACACATACAGCTGAAACACATGCTATACACAAAAGACAGTGTTATAAAATGCCCATATAAAGACATGACTACATAAGCATGTCAGTACGTGCAGATGTGGTTGCTATGAACAACAATGATACAGCTACAAATCATAAAATTAACTTGCAAAGTTAGTGAAAGTTGCCCATTATATAATGAGGACAAAATTCAGTAAATACCTTTGGGACTGATGGGATGAGCTTCAACCTGCTGTTTCGGAATTCATCATCACCGTCAACAAAGCGTTGCAATAGGGATCCAGGAACTAACTCCTTTGTCACAAAATAGAATACCATACTATAGTGAGTTGATCCAGGCACCTATCACCAAAAAAACAGCACACTTTCCATTTACTCTGAAAATCTAAACCCTTGAGGTTTAAATTGACTCATAGTCATACGAAAAAAGGAACTAACTTGAAGATTAATGATAATGGAGAAAAATCCCTTTTCTGATGCAACCTACACAGACAACAAAAGCAAAGGATTATTTTCAGTGAAAGCCTAAAACTAGAAACACACACAACCACAACAACAACCAAACAACTTAATATTATAAATAATTAAAAGGGAAAACTACGTTCACCTCGCCAGAGGTTTGCATTTATTTCAACCGATATCCCCCTATTTAAGAAGTGATACCGTACTCCCCTAATGTTTGCATTTTTGTTGCAATGATTGTATTAAAAACAAACAAATGCACTTCTCCCCTTTTACAATATGACAATTTCATCCCTATTAATAAAATAATATACAATGGAAACGTTTGCTCAAATCACGCACCCGGGCTGTCTGGATCTGAGGTGCGAAGGTGTTTGCTTCAAGGCTGGTTTGATGGCTGTTTTGAATGGTGTTGGGCTGTCGGTGAGCAACTTAGAAGGGATACTAAGTGGTAGAGGTTTTTTATTTCAGATGCTACAATGGCGAGCAAAAGGTAGTGAGTCGACCATGATAAAGCTATTAGGTGGTGGTTTCAAGTTCTTTGACTTGGTGGTTGTAAGTTGGCTGTAGGTGGCCTTGTCAGTGAACGAACTTAGATTGCTGTTTTTATCTTGTGTTCGATGCGGGTGCAGAATTTGAGATCCTTTGATTGCTTTCCTTTTTTTGGATATTTGGCAGGAAAGGAGCTGAGTGTATGGCCGAAGAATGGTGGGCTCTTAGGTGTGTGCTTAGGTTTGTTAGGGGTTTGATGGTATTTGGGGGTGTGGTTCAAGTGTGTATTGATTTCTGTTGGAGGGTAACTTAAAGTTCAGCCATGAGTTAAGGGTTCTATGTCGGGTCTGGTGTGCTTGTGGGGGAGTAGGTAAGTGGTGTGATTTTGAAAGTGTGTTGTGCAGAATTTCAGCTCTGCTTTGGTGTGGCCCAGGCATGCGTATGTGACTTGTGTTGCTGTGTACTGATTCTGTAATTTGGTGGCTATTGGCAGACTGGTGGCAGAGGGTTTGGTTGTAGGCATAGGTGTTTGTGAGTGAAGTTTAGGGTTGTTTGGGTCGGCAATGAGGTGTTTTGAACAAAGTGCAGGTTTGCGGTGTTTTGAACCAGGAGAGCATTCAACAAAACACAACATTAGCATCAAGTTGTATACATTCCATTTTGTGTTAACCATCCACAGCAACCTCACAAGGATTACAACGAGAAGCCATGGAGGATAGTGTACTTCAATTCAATCCCAACTTGAAAGGGGAATCAAGAGAAATTTTGTTTCATAGAGGGGTTTTCAGATTGGAGAGATAAAGTTTTCAAGTTAAAGGAGGGTTTTCTGTTTTAGAGATTCAATTTTAATGAATAGTTTCAATTCAGTATTTAAAAAAATAAAAAAAAAAGACAGAATGGTATCAAGGATAATTTCAAAACAAAAGACAGGATTGTGCTCCATCTTTGTTTAACGTTTTCAGTTAAGCGTTAAAATGGAATTTCATTTTTTTAAAATGCCGTCAAGCTCTCTTCCAACTACGAGAGATCGGTGTGTCATAGAGGGGTTTTCAGTTTGGAGAGATGAAGATTTCAAGTTAAATGAGGGTTTTCTGGTTTTGAGATTCAATTTTAATGAAAAGTTTCAATTCAGTATTTAAAAAAATAAAAAATAAAAAAGACAGAATGGTATCAAGGATAATTTCAAAACAAAATACAAAAGACAGGATTGTGCTCCATCTTTGTTTAACGTTTTCAGTTAAGCGTTAAAATGTAATTTTATTTAATTTTAAAACGCCGTCAAGCTCTCTTCCAACTACGAGAGGTCGGTGTTATACCCCTAACAAGAGGGATATCTGATGTGATAAGTGCGAACCTCAACGGAGATGCATGTATCTTTCCCATAATAAAGTAAAATGTTGAAAATCGATGAAAGTATATCCTTTCATACATGCAAGTGAGAAGAAGCCAAGCATAGGTCTCTAATTATTTTCAGACAACAGGGTAACGTGACAAACCTCCCAATAATCTTCAGCAAGTAACATAAAACGGACAAGGTTCTAGTACTCACTTGTGCTGCACAACCATGACGCTTTGCCACGTGGTCCATTCTTTTTGAGTCCTTCAACCAATCCACAGCAACAAGATCCAGCAGATGTTTGCCAGCAGGAACCTTCACAGTTAACCACAAAGGAATAAGAGCACTCCCAAACAAAGATAAATTTTGATTTAGAAAGAGTAGAAGAATAATAAAAGAAGACCTTTGACTTGTCATAGCAAAAATTCTTGCTTCTGACTCTAAAGTTATTTCCATCAGAAATTTTCCAGCAGTCACGAGCATTATCACGATCATCACGACGTAAATTACCCGAAAAGGAAGACAAGTCAATTTCATTTGCCGGTTCTTCTTCCAAGGCTTCAATTCAGGAAAACATTATGATTAATTTTAATCGAGGCTCTTCTATGAGCATGCATCTCGGTGCACACATGCACTATGCACATGTTTATAATTATTATATTATGAAATAAATAAAAAAGAGGTATGGTATGAAGCTACCTGTTCTTCTGACATCATTCTCATTACCAATTGGGTATGCCTGAAGTATTAAAAAATTACCGCTTAGAGTTTATGAAGCAAACCCCAAAAATAGAGATGGGAATGCAAATATAACCTCTTGCTCAGGTTCTGCTATTTGGAAATCTTCATCTTCGTCAGAATATTCATCCATCAATGCAGAATTCCTGCTTGCAGAATTTATTTGATCGAGAGAATTGGGATGAACAGAAGAATCATTAGGCTTCTGATTCTTCTTTGAAGAAACAGATGTTGAGGACATATTAACCATGACAGGGATTCGTGGAGGAGCATTCCTTTCGTCTGTTTGGGCAAACCATTCACGTAAACCTGTAGAGAGACGGGTGAAAAGGCATTTTAAAACTCATTGCACATCAGGCCAGCCCACAAAAGAGAGGTAAGCCCAAATTAGGCAACCTTCACACCTAAACTTTCCACTACCAAACACAGACAGACATGTCTAAGAGCAACAATGATAACACAAGGGATAGTATTACCATTCTCTAAGAAAATCAACTCACCAGCTACACTATTTAACATTTGACGGAGACAATGCTGCTGAAAAGATGACATGTAACCCACACCCCATCCCTTCAGATCAATCTGCATAAGATGCTGGACCTGTGTCCTGGGCCTACCATTTCGAGGTTTTAAGGGGGAAATATTAAATCCTCCACCTGTAAAACCAGTAGTCAGACCTAAAACAATAGAATGTGGCATACTTTTTATCTATGATTTTACATGAGATGCATCATTCAATTGAAACAAAAATTAATTTTTTTAATAAAAACTAGTGCTTACTGACATTAATGAGAAATGAAAAATTAAAAATCTGTTTATCGTAAAGATCCGTCTTCATTTTATGCTGAAAGAAAAGGAGATACATACTATGAAACTTTAATATTCCACCCTGATTCCATATTTATCTCTTAATCGTGGAAACATTTTACATGTTTCAATGAATTAAAAAGAGCGAAACTTCAATCATTAGCAAACAACAACTCAATACGCTAACAACACACATCCTAGCATTTTCATATTATTTTCCAACTGATTAATGGTCCCTGGCCTAAGATTATTCTGTCCATTCAAGTGGAGGCAAGGTAGCATTATATGTTAATAAAATTAATAGATTCCCGAACATAACTCCATTGGTTTTAGGATTTAAGATTAGGTCGAGTTCATATGCTTCCAACATCTACATCAATTCCCCTTTTCTTCCTTATTATAGAAAATAAATACTAATACTTAGAGGGAAAGACTAAAAGGATCCTCCTAAGCAGAAAATAGAAAAGAGTACAATAAGGACAAAAAAAAGCAGCAAAGTTACCCACTCCATAAAAGTCAGAAGAGTCAACGCCCTTAAAACAACTATTAGCAAAACACCAGAGAGGTCATATGCACAATCCTATTCCATAACAAGTAAAGGACATTGAGACCCCTTGAAAATGTGGACCAATCCCACCCTCCTGTACTTTGGAGGATGGAGTCAGATCTAAAAGGAATTGGATCTTACTCTCAATATGAGCCCGAACACACCCTGGTTGTGGACTACAGTTCTCATGTTCCCTGGAGCGAAATAAAACAACTGCAAGAAGAAGAAATATCAACGCAAACTTCCAAAATAATAAACATATGGTCTTTCTAACTGGTGCTTAAGGGCACTGGTTAAGGAGCATTTGATACCCTCTATTAAATGTTTCTAATTACCTAAAGAGAGTATTAAATGTTTTTACTATCATTTGATTCTTTCTATTCTTGTTTCCTTAACCAATGTAGTCAATAGCAAATTCCATTAACAATAAATGAATTTTGAACCAAAAAAGTAAATTGCCTACCATAACTTCCATCATCATTTCGACGCCAGTAACGTACATAACAAAGATCACGGGGCCACACAAACCTGTCATGATAAACAAATAGCACATGGGGTTCATGCAGTTAATAACTTTACTTTGTGGAAGTACATTCATTTTTAATTATTTATCCAGTCCTAAATCATGTTTTTATAGATAAAAAGAACATGTCATAAACCAATTGTCCTAAAAACTTAAGTGATTGGATTAAAGCACATGAATGGCTTTATATTTAAAAGGCCTCTCATGCAAATAACCATTTGAACAATGCAGAGGCCTACCCTACCTTGTGCTGAATTATGACTTCAATTTACAAGAATGGAGGCAACAAGGATCAAATTCTAGACCATATAACAGAGTCTCTGATATCATATAATGAACCAATAATCCCAAAAGTTTAAGATATTGGGTGATAGTACATAAATGGTTTATATCTAACAACACAATTCAGACTTTATTGGGACACCTAAATATAGGTTTGAATGTCAAGAAATAAAACAATTTATTGAGAAAACTTACCACAGAAGATACAAGTAAATTTGGTTCTTCTGGAGAAGACATTTTTATCATATATGAAAAAATAATTGATAAAGTTTACTCTATAGTATAATGACAAAGAAGTTATTTTACATTGGAAACCAGTCTAGCTGAAGTCTGTGATAAAGAACTGCTGTATGCCCATCCACCTCCTCAACTAAACTACCATGTTGGAAACTGCAATCCCATCTGCAGGCATGCAAATAATAAGAGGCTAACAAATTTTATCCGCAGAATATTTGCAGAATTTTGGAACATCAAATATCTGGAACTGAGAAAAAAAAAAAAAAACTTTCTTTTCTACATTTCTTTATCATGCCATGCTTGATCTGTTGTAGGACCCAAAAGCAGTTCTACAGCCATCAAGTAAGTTTTCATGGCTTGAGCATTACAAAGCCATATTAAAAGAACAGTAGTTTCAGTGGTATTAACCAAAGGATCAAGGGAAACACATACTATGTGTTCAGTTTAAAAACGAAAATGAGCATGTGGGTTTTAAGATAACCATTGGTACAAAATTCACATTGAAAACTAGCTACATGGAAATCAAATACATAGTTACAAACAATAAAAAATTCCAACCCATTGATGAATTAAATTGTTGGGCATATTAGGTGTCCTGGTTATAATTCTAATTCTAATTTAAAAAAAAAAAGGTCTACAGTAAGATTGAATGAAACTGATTCCTGGAGTTTAAATTCAGCATTTATTTGGTTTTAATTTAACTGAACTGATATCTGTGAACAATTTCTGAAAAGAACAGTACGATGTCTAGAATCCTGCTAACTTTTCCTAATTTTTTCAACAGCGCAGTTTATGTTCTCTTATTCTTTGACTCAATTTTGTCACATACCCTAGTGCATACACCGTATTCAGCTCATATATATTTCCCAACTATGGAAGAAGATAATAGAGGTTCCAAACTAATATCTCCCCTGACCCTTCAATAAAAGATCCAAATAATTTTCACCTCACAGTCCTCACATACATAACAACAACAAAGCCTTAACCAATAGGACAGCTCAGGTTGTCTATACAAATCATATGATGTTATTGATCTTCACGAAAAGCCAAACTTTCAATTAATCCATTTAGATTAAGTTATTTTTTAATGGTTTCACCTATTTTTTTCTTCAGTCTTCCTCTACCCTTTTTAATGGGAGTGTCATCCATTTGATCCATTTTTCATATGATGGCCTCCATTGGTCTTCTAACTCTTTTCCTCACATGAACAAACCATCTTAGATGAGTTTCTATCATCTTCTCAATAGGTATTAATACAACAATCTCCCGTAATTTCATTCCAAATCTTATATTCTTATCTTTTCTTGCTTGTCCACTCAACTTATCCACCACAACATTCTCATCCCCCATTACTCTAGCATCCATCTGAACAAAAATTACTGCAATTCATAAAAATAGCACAAAAATATTTATGTAGCTGAAATTGATGCGAGCTCCTACAATGCCCCATTCATTCACCAGTTATAACATAACAATGCCTCATTTCTCTCCTTGACAAGTCCCCCCTAGTTACTCTTTTAACATTCTGACTATTTTACCCCATAAAGCATTGAAATGAGTTTACTTTTATGGATTTTTTACTGTTATTGATAAGGCTCTAGAGGCATTCCTCACCTTAACAAGAAAGGAACTCCTGAGGTGCCAAGAATAGCTTACCCCATCTGGAGCTTTGCCTAAGCACCTTAGGTATGCCTTTTGGTGCCTTTGTCTACACTGCCCGGGGACTAAGTTAGTAGAATCTCTAAAAGTAGTATTACATGACATCACAATTTCTTAAAATGTCAAGTCTAATTGCGCTCCCTTACATCATGGCAATATTTCTCTAGAAACAAAAAGAAAAACACATTAAAATAGTGGTAATTATGCAGAACACCTACTCAAACCGTGTCCCATCCATGCTCATCACAAGCTCAAAAATTTCTTCACAAGTAGCCTCCACAACACCTACTGCCTTCATAGCTCGACTGCAGCTCCTTGGCTACATAAAGAAGCAAATTGGAGATGATTATGTTTCCCAAAACATCCTATGAAATTTAGCACACCATGAAAGACACGAATAACGCACAAGGTAATCAACTTCAACAAGTTCTTCAAAAACGCGAAGTCCTGCCCATTTCAGAAGGAAAATCATCTCAGTTTATACAATTACAACATATACAACCATTAATATATTCCTGGAATATCTTTTCTTTTATTTCACCAAGACAGTAAATTGCTTTATCATGTAGATAGCCGTTGCTAACCATCCTGGCATTGTAAAAGACGCCAATGCTTTCTTGAGAATGCTTGGTTATTGATATTCTGATTTGACAATTCTGAATCTATTTCCCTTGTCCAGTCGAAAACTGACTCCGGAGGACCTGCAGCTAAAAAAATGAGAGGTTTAAATATAGATTGTAGATTATTGAAAGCCCATATCTGGAGGGGATATAAAGTAGACCATTTCCAATTGTTGTCCTCCTTAACAAATTTGGATGAGGCTCATCTTCATCCTCCTGAGCACTGAACCTGGTGATCCAAAAAATATATTGGATGTTAAGAATATATAGGGGGTATGCTCAATGACATTGTGTTGTAAATAATTGTGTTGTAATTATTTCTTTTTATTAATATATACAATGGGCTTTCATGTGAGGGGACGTGTTAGAGAAATATAAAACCATTAAAAAGGCCCTCACCTAACAGCTTAAGCTTTTGGGAGAATAGGTTCTTTACATAGTATCAGAGCCTCGGTATCACGGGTTCGATCCTCACCTCCCCCAATTTAATTAATAATTAATTAAGTCTTGTGGAGTTTCTTAGCACAGGTAGGCTGGGCTTGATACATCATCCACCCTTTAAGTCCAATGGACTCATGTGAAGGGGCGTGTTAGCGAAAAGCATAAAGCCTTTAATGTAGTCTCACCCCACAACTTAAGTTTTTGCTCAGGAGTACAATAAAAAAAGCCTAAAGACAACTAAAATTAAATCATGTTCCAGTATGTCTCAATGAATTATTTCAGTTGCATCTTCAAAGAATGGACCTTGGGATGAAAGAAAACAATCTCAAGGAAGACAGACATAATTCAAGTAATCACAATTCACAACATAGGAAACAATGGCACAAAAAAGCAGGTAAACTCTTGACTTCTACAAAGAGTAAGTGAAAAAAATCAAAGCACAAAAATACTTACTGGCTTTCACGGTCTGAGGAAGATGCCGTCTTCCCATTGTCCATCCCAGATTTGTACTCAAAAGAAATATATTTGTTACCATTTGATGGTTGTGCTCCCTGATGCTGCATGGAATGAAAGCTCAATAGCATCAACTTACACAACAGGAAAGCATGTCCCACTAAGATGAATTTATAAACATTGCAAGGCATCGTTTTATCCATGTATCAAGATAATGTTTTTCATGTTTCAAGCCAATATACATCGAGGAGACATAAAGTCTAACCAGAAATTTAGGAATATAGATACTGTTCCAAATCAAAAAAACATAATAGGATTATGAAATCTGGCGAAACAGACCTGATCAATGACATACTCGATCTTTTCCTTCCAGATTAGGGCCTCCTGGATGTTAAATGCTGCCATCTGCAGCAACAACCCCAGTAATAAAATATTCACACATCAACAGTGACAGCAAAATTATTTTAAAGAAAATAAATAAATTACTAAAACAAAATTGCATGATAGTAACTATGGATAGAAGGGTAAAAATAAATACTGGATATATGAATGTGAGGAAAATCCTCTCACCATAATTCGATTGTACTTTTCTTTCTTGTTGTAAACAGACAAAACATAAACCATCTGCACAAAAATAATAAATAAATAAATAAATGCAGACAAAAATATAGAGAACAAAATCACTGTCAGTATCGAAAATCTATAAATACATCAAAATCAACATTAAAATCAACAACATCTTTATTCCAAACTAGTTGAAGTCGGTGACAAATGAACCCAAATGAAAAATACGAAAAGATTGAAAAAAAAAGGCTAAAAAATATTAAAAATATATAACATTATCCATTAAAAAGATAGCAATAAAAAATTAAAAGGAAAAAAAAATTAAAATAAATTGAAAATAAAATACATAAGAGGACAAAAAAAGAATACGGAAGTAAAGATAAAGAAATAGAGAGATAAAAAAAATAAAGGAAAAAAATACATAAATAAGAGAAGAAAGATTGAAAGGAAAAAAAAGAGGAAAGAAATAGAAAGAAAAAAAAAAAAAAAAAGAGGTAAAGAAAGAAGAGAGAGATAAAGGAGAAAAGGATTAAAAAGGGACTATCTAGAACATAGGAATAAAAAAGGTCTAACCCACCACAATGCTAATAGCTTTACTCTAATCCATCCTAAAACACACCATCCGTCAATCTATATCTCACTCCATTAAGTCTTGTTTTATTACCTTCCCCCAAGTAAGTTTTGGTCTACCTTTTCCCCTCTTTGTGTCAAACTCTTGGTAACGGACTTTTGTTCTTATGGGAGCATATAAATATCTTCTCATTACATACCCAAACCACCTCAATCTATGTTCTCTCATCTTTTCAACCACCAATACTACTCCTACCTTTCATCGAATATATTCATTTTTTATCTTATCCATCCTCGTACACTTTAACATTCTCATTTATGCTACTCTCATTATATGCTTATGTTGCCTATGTGCTGGCCAACATTCAGCTCCATATAACATTGCAGGCCTTACTGTTGTTCTATAGAATTTTCCTTTTAGCCTAAGGAGAATTTTGCGGTCACACAAAAATCGCGATGCACTACGTCATTTCATCCACCCTACTCTGATTCTATGATTTACATCCTTATCAATCTCTCCACCTTTTAGCAAAATTGATCCCAGATATCTGTAAGCATCTTTCTTGAGTCCCTCTTGTCTAAGCAAATGTACAGAATCTTGATCTCCATCTCTTACCAGAGAAAACTCACACTTCATGTACTCAGTCGTGCTCCGGCTTAGCGTAAATCCTTTAGACTCCAACATGCTTGCTCCAGCTTAGCGTAAATCCTTTACACCATGGCACTTCCTCTTGAATATCTTTTCTTAAATCATTCATAACTAGGGCAAAGAAATAAGGACTTACAGCAGAACCTTGGTGTACACCTACTGTGATAAGAAAATAACTTGATGTTCCATTACAAGCTTTCACACATGTAGTAGCACCATCATACATATCCTTGATTGTCTCTATATACTTTGATGGTACTTTTTTCTTCTCAAGAACCCACCATAAAACCTTTCTTGGAACCCTATGATATGCCTTCTCAAGATCTATAAACATCATATGTAAGTCCTTCTTTTCTCGATATCTTTTCATTAATTGTCGTATCAAGAAAGTGACCTCCCTGATACATATTCCTAGCATAAACCCCAATTAATTTACATAGACCTTGGTCTCTCTCCTCAAGCGTTCAATAACTCTCTCTTACAACTTCATAGTATGGAAAATCTATAAATAGTTTCAAGAAAATTATATTTTAACTACAAAGACGACTACCAAAACTCAGTATATGCCACTTTCAAAATCCCATCTACAGGGTCAAAGTATTCAACACAAAATTCTTGACATATCTTTCCCTCCACTGAAATCATTCATCAAAAAGAACAATTCTAACTATTTTACACTGACAAGGATTTATATGGTTACTGGTCCCTTTATGCATCTTTTGGGTCAACATACATACCTGATAACTCTCATTCCAGTACATGGGTATTCTTAAAACTATAAAAGTTGGTAGACAGCATATACAAAATTAATGCCTATGAAATTGAAGCAGCTGGAACAAAATTAGTCACAGGATGCAAAAACAGAATCCAAAACAATTACTCAGCTTGCAGGGTTTGATTTTAGGGTGCATTTGTTTCAGCTTTAAAAAAAGCGATTTTATGATAAAACCTTTTTAGAGCTTTTTTTCAACAGCTACTACTTTTAGCTTACGAGAAAAACACAAAATAAAACAGCTTTTTTTAGATTTTTTTTCTTTTAAAAAAACCTATCTAATTATTACAAAAAATTTAAATGTATTTTTTAATTAGATAACTGCTTCTTTCTTTAAAAAAGTACAAACAAGCGGACTAAAAGGACAACCTGACAACCTGACATAGGCCTATAGCATACAACCTTACCTGCATTTGCAAGAGGCTGATTACATGATTCAAACCTGTGACTTTCGTCGCATGGCGACAACGCCAACCCTTGTGCCAAGGCTCCTCTTTATACGGGCCCCTTTGATACCAAACAGGATCAATACAAATAATATACTGCAGAATTTTCAGGAATAACTGCATATGCAATTTTGCATTTTCCAGCTAGCAGCTGTTTGGAGTAGGATTTTTGGTGTTTTTGGCTAATCATTTTTGTAAACTTAAAGCTTGGAAAACTTCGTCTAATTAGGTCTAGAGGTTTTAGCTGGCATGAGAACAGAAAAGCTTTGTGGCAGTACGAAATTTATGCACTACTTTAGCCATTCGATTGGAACCTGGAGGTGAATGCTTCAATTTTAATGGGAAAACAATGTCCTTAGGTTTGCTTCAAGATAGGACAACTTTTTGGCCTCATTTTGGTGTTCAGCACACAAATTCTATGAGAATTTCTCTGGTAGACATGCAGATTGATTGCAAAGCTATTTTGTAACAAAGTTTTTTTTGCTCCCATGTTGAAGGATGATGCCTTGTCCTCCTACTTTAAAATTCTTTCCTTGTAATGAATTTTTTCCTTAGTCCAGAAAGGAAAAAATAATATCTTGGACAACAGGTGCAATTAGTCAAACATGTCAGAAATTTTTCATAGGTGTTCATGGGACCCTACACAGCTCCGTAAGTAAATCTAATAATGCACAAACAGGTGTGAATTTTTGTGTCTAGCCTTACTCTTCAAAAAATGTTGATGCCCGTATCTTTTTTCTCTGTTTTAATAAATATCATAGGTGTTGATGAAACATCTTTGCATAGTCCACAACATAGCCTCACACCAACAATTCACTAGTTTCTATTCCGCACATTTGATTTCCTAACGGGATCAAACTAGATACAAACACTTGATTTCCTAACAGGATCAAACTTGATACAAGCAAAGCCTTTTGTTGCGCAACAACATACAATAAGTACAGTTCATGTCAATTGATCATTTCAAGACCAGAAGGCTCCCACAGTAAATCACCAACAAAACAAATATATAATAAGGGCAAACCCCAGTGCAAAAGGCTCCCCGACTTTGCAAGGATAGAAAGGCTCCTCTATTTTGCAAGAATAAAGGTAAAAGTCAATTATACACAGATTTACTCTTACATTTTTGCAAGGAGGCTGGTTCCAAAACTAGAACCTTACCACTGCGCACAAAGGAGCAACCTAGGTTTGCCCTCAACAAAACTACCGGCATAAATGTTACACTCAATTTTAGTTGTTAATTCCGCTTTTATCTAAAGCTCTAATTTATTAGTCAAGTGAGCCATTAGATGAAAGTGGAACGAACTGCTAAGATTAGAGGTCTTCAAACCTATATATAATTAAAATTAATTTTGAGAACTTCATAATTGCAGAACTCACATATCCATGATGGGTCTTCAAGCCTCTATCCTCCACTCTACAGTTGCCATCAATTAGCAGGGTTTTAATAGGAACCTAACAAAGCATAAAAAAAATAGTTCACATCGCCAAGTTTTTTATCAGCACCTCCTCCCAGAAAGAAAAAGATACAAAGAAAAAGGAATTCAGAAAGCATAATAATTTAAAACAAAAATTGAAAAGCCATCTCACAAATTCCCAAACCCTTTTCACAGAATACCCCCGAAAAGGAAAAAAAACAATTCTGGGAAGTGGAAACTTTAACCAACAATGGAAATTGAAGCCAAAAAAAAAAATAATAACTAACTGATTTTTCTTCCTCCCCCTCCTCTCCAAAAAAAAAATTAATAAAAAAATGAAGACTGAATATCATAAAATACGATAGAATCACCTGATTGTCCTGCGGTTTCCTCTTATAATAGGCGAGCAGCCTCGACTCCAACACGAAGTACCTCATGTGGATGAACGATCGGCCGATCTTTCGCCGGCCATACCGCACCATCCACCCTTCGTACACAATCTTTGACGACATAGCTCCAGAGGAACACGAACACGAATTTGAATTTGAATTTCAAGAAAAGAAAAAGAACAAATTCGAAGTGGTGCCGGCCGGAAGCTGGAGAGGAAGAATCTCTGCTTCGGCTAGATGAATTGCAAGCTAAGTGACCATACAAGTCATCGCCGGTGCCGGATATGGAGGGTCATGGAACCGGCGATTCCACGGTCCGTTGTTTTCAGCGGAATCGCAAGCGAGCTCAGGATTCGAAATTCGAATTCCGCATTGACGCTAGTTGCAGTTGTTCTTCCCCGATTTCTCGAACTCTTCCTCCTTCGACTTCGATTCTCCGGGATCGGTGACGATGGGATCGGTGAAACTAAACGACGACGTATAGAAGACGGTGGAGAGAGATAGATTAGAGACTAGGAATTTAAGAAAGAGATTCTAACTAGAGAAAGTGTGAGATCCCACGTAAGTTAGAAAAGGCTGTGACCGAGAGCAGCTTTGACACGTGGATGGAATCGATTGGGCCGTGTGGGTTAGGTGTGTGTTTTGGCAGTGACGCTTTCCCCATTTTTAACTATAGTCCGAGTGTTAATCAGATCTAATTAATAATTATTATTAATTTGAATTTTCGTTTTTTCTTTTCTTGTTGGGGTCAATTTTTTGAGGAGTACGTGAACAAAAAGGCTTGGGTCCCACGTGATTTTGCTATTTTGAGATGACGGATATGACCTTGAATATGAAGGCTTGTGTATTTGTTTGTATTGGGATTATGGTCATTGTATTGTTCCACTTTTGCCACTTACTTACGATATGGAATTAATTTATGCGCGTCACTGTAGACAGCTAAGCGTGACTTGTTTGGGCACAGATGGCAATGAAGAACAAACAATAAGATCAGAGAGAGTAATCATATCCTGAGATTATTTTTTTTATAAAATAATAGTTAAGGTGCATTTAATAGTGAGATATTTTCTTTATAAAATAGTAGTGAGATATTTTACCTACGTAGATATGAATGAAGTTTTTTTATAAAAATTAAAAGTTTAATATTTTTATATTGTTATTTTTTACACGTACATAAAAAGAGAAAGGTTATCCATACAATATATTTTCATTTACAATATCTTATAATCATAATTTAATTGTTGATTTTCTTCAATCAATAGTTATTATTATTGTGAATTAATAATTAATTAATAAATTTAATTTGAGAAAATAATAACTATTAATTGACATAAATCAACGATTAAGATATAGTTATAAAAAATTATAAACAAAAATAGATTGTGAATATAACCTTCCTCTTATAAATGTATGGATCTATGTTGGGCCATATAAAAAAAAAATGGATTCAATATATTTTTATATATATTTATAAGATTATTTTATCTTTTTTAACAAGAGAGATAATAAACGTAAAAATTAAATATCTGAATTCAGTTTTAATTTTTTTTTCTACTCCTGCTTTGCGCATATAATATTTGTGACTAGTATTTTAGAAAAATATCTGAATCAATCGGTGGAGATTACTTCAACTTAATTAATACTTTTGAGTTCGTGTACGGAACGGTGTTAATAAAAGTGGACTGGATCAATGATAATCAAGCTAGTCGGACAAATAATGAATCGGTGTGAAAATATTAAAAGAAAATATATTGAGAAAGTAAAAGCTAAAACTTTATAATTACTAAAAAAAAAAGAGTTAAATCTTTATTATAGTAACATTTAAAGTGGTAGTTTGAAATTAAGATTAATAAGTTGAATAAGTCTCGAAACTCAGAAGTTAAACTGAGTTTAGAGATTCGGACATGAAACCGATAAAATTATTGTAGTGCTCACCAAAATATTTGGGTAGCACTTATGATGATATCTAAATAGCATCAATAAGAGTGTAGAAGCAAATAGCAACAAAGTCACCTTTTGGTGACCGTAATAATAGGTTCTACCATACAGCCATTATCATAAGACGCAGACACAACAAAATTGAGATGCTCCAAAATGATGATGGCACTTGGATATCCGATCCACAAGCTATCAAGGAAATGGCAGTAAGCTTATTTGAGAATCTTTATTCCAAAGAAATTGTGAACCCCTTGTCAGATTGCTTCCCCATAACTACTTGTAGATCCTTTGCCATTATGGATAGGATTCCTTCTAATATGGAAATCAGATAAATAGTGTTCAGCATGCATCCTTATAAAGCTTCGGGTGTGGATGGGTTGCAAGCAGAGGCCGAGCCAAGATTGTTAATTAGGGAGGCGAATTTTTTTATTTTTTTTATAGCAACATGTAATAAACATTCAGAAATTTAATGCAACCAGTTATCTAGATTTTGTCCACTCAATTTTTCATCCAAGAAATGCAAAGTTTATTGAATAAAACATCAAACCTAGAGAAGCCAATAGAATTGGTCTAGTGATTCGCTGGTAACGGTTAATTTGATAAATCAAGGTTGCCATGTGCATCACATCACCCCTTGTCCTCCATCCTAAATAGGATTCAGGAGCTGCTTCAGAGAAACTGGAATACAGTAGTAACTCACACATGCAAAGAAGGAAACATGTTAACTGACTGGATTGCTTCTTATGCATACAGTTTTGATGACTGAGAGACCCATGTATTCATAAAACCCCTCACTAAGTGTAAAAAATAAAATTTAAAATAATATATTGAAAATAAAATTAAAATCATTTGATGATTATATTTATTTATTTATTTTCCAGGGTGTCCTCACTCACTTTGTGGCATAGAGAACCAAGGTTTTTGCCATTTGCCCTAAATTAGTTCACCTAATAATCGAAACATAGACATTTTAGTCCCATCAATTCGTTCCTTAGACATAATTTGCTTACTAATTATGTCACCTTCGGAATTTGATTATATTATTTTTTAATTTAAATACTTTAAAACTCAAGGCATTTCGATTGGGGAACTGATACACTAGAAAAGCTCTATCTCTCTGCGAGAGACAGAGGAGTCGATCGATTAAATTGTGATGCACTTAGAGCACTAATTACAAAATATCCAATCAATCTTTTTCCCATGTGCTCAAAGAATGGTTAATTTCAAATATAACAAAGTACAACAAAATTCAAGTTTAAAAGAAATAGCAAATATGATTGTGATTTATTTGGCAAAAGAAGAAAAAGAAGAAAACCACAAATTTGATGTGATTTGACATATAAGATTTGGGATGTGTTTTGAAATATTTAATTATATTTATTTAATTTTAAAATGTAGTTATTGTTATATTTATTTTTGGGATTTTAAATTTTTAATTGATTTATTATTGGTCTATTAAATGGTGCTTAGACCTTTATTGTAGAAGTTGAATATTTATTATTTTGATAATTATAATTGAGAAATGAAACTTTTTTTATCAATCTCAACTTTATGTTTAGCCATTTTCTATTCATTTTTGTCATCATTTAATATCAGAGCACTAGGTTGCCTTCAATCAATAGCTGAACATAATCATTGAGGTCCTGGATGGCAGAGTCATAGAGGCAAGGGACATGGATTTGTTCCTGAAAAAACGGACAACCGTGTCAGATGGACTCAAAAGACATAGAAAACGAAGAGCTCGGAAGACAGATCCACAATTTTAAGCGACAATTTATTCGGGCGCATAGCGAGAAAATTCAAGTTCTACAGTGTCAGCTAGCGGAGGTGCAGAGCATGAATATCTAAATTTTGCAGTGATGACTTGCACAAAAAAAGTTGAGCGTTCAATCTGAAGAAGGAATTGAATCATAGGACACAACTGATAATGAAGAGAATGACGTCAAACCACGGATGAAATTGGGGAGTACAGCTTGGAAATCAGTCTACTCTCAAGATAGAGAGGTGATGGTTGAGATTCCTCACATTTCAGTGTATAATGGTTGTCTTGTATATGGTGACTCCGATGGAGAACAAGATTGTGACGTTGATCTAATTGATGATTATTCTAATGGAGAACAAGATTGTGACATTAATCCAATTCATGATGATTCTAACGCGGAGCAAGATTGTGACAGTGATCCAATCTATCAGTAAAAGATTAATTATATTCAAAATCAATCAGTAATTACTAAATACCAAAAGGAGAATCACATTAGTCAAGTTAGAGCCTAAGGACATTGCAAAATAACCCATGTTAAAAGAGGCAATAAAAGCAATTCATATTTTTACAACTGTTATGCTTGAAGTAGAATTATGACAATTCCGAAATTCCTTCTCGAGTTTCTATCTTTGCTTGAAGTAGTATAAACAATGGTGCCCCATAGGCATTTTGAGATGGTTGGTATCAATGAAGTCAAAGTATATTCAAGGACAAATATTTTCCTAATATGGGAAAATGATACATTTAAAGTTGACCTATTATAAATAGCCCAAGCAATATTTTCCTTACATGCCTAAAGAATAATCAATTTGAAATAAAATAGATTACGACAACATCGACGTGATTTGACATCTAAAATTTAGGATATGATTTAAATGATTTAATCGTAGTTATTTATTTTTAGGAAGTAGTCATTGTTATATTTATTTTTAGTATTTTAAATTGATTTTTTATTTGTCTATAAAAGAGTTGAATATTTTATTATTTTGATAATTATAATTGAGAACGGAAAAGTTTCTTTTGTTCAATCTAAATTTTTTATTTAACCATTTTTTCAATATGCTTTAGGCCGGTAGCCAAAGGTCAAAAGAAAAGGAAATAATAAAGAAAGTGTAGAGAAATAAGAATTTCTTAAATTTATTTTATGCTATAATAGATATAAAACTTTATCTTTCGTATCATCGTCATGCTTTTATTTTTATGAAATCATAAAATATTGACTTCAAATCTACTAATTGGAAAACATAATACGCTAAATAAACAATAATACGGCATGTATTTTTTTTTTTTGGCAGGGATACGTTATTTATTTATGTATGTAATAGTAAAACTACAAATATATCATATGATAAGTAAATATTATATTCCTGTTACCAAAAAAAAGTAAGTATTATATTTTTTTGTTATTTTTTATTAGAATTGTAAATTATAATGGGTTTGTTTAAATGTATCTCAATTTATTGTTCTAAAGAACATTTCATTAATTAAATAGGTCAATGTCAATCTATATCTATATTCATATAATTAAGATAGCACTTGCAACTATAAACTCACACCTCCTCTAATTTGTTGATGTGCGACAGAACACTTTTTTTTCCTTCGAGTCTAAGGAGAAAACATACAAATATAAATATACCCAATTTTTCTTCACATTGCTCCATAGTCCTCCAATAAAGAATTAATATAACGCAAAAGTTTAAGTTATTGAGTGAGAGTTTTATTAATTGTTTATATTTTTCTCTAATACATCTCTTTAGGCAAGAGCCTTTTGGATTTTAATCGTGAATAACACACAGGTCCAATTTTTGGTTTACTTTGTATTTTACTTAATTTCACTAGAAAACAGGAAGCGGTGAGGATCAAACTCGTAACCTCATAGTCACTGAAACTCTAATTAGGGATGTCAATTCTTGACACAACACACTGACACAACACGAACATGATACAAAATTTCGTATTCGGGTTGACCTATATTAAAATATGTGTCGTGCTCATGTTGGGAAAACATGACTCGCAAAAATTAATGTCGTGTTGTGTCAACATTAACTCAACCCATTTTTTTTTATCAATTATCATTTTGACACATAGTTTGCGTGTTATTCATGTTGTGTTGTGTTAACCCGCAAAATTTGCGGGTCGTGTTCTTATCGAAGATTCTGACATAAATAAAAATTCGTGTTGTGTTCATGTTGCATGTATTCGTGTAGTGTGGTTTTGACATCCGTAACTCTGATACCACATAAAGAATCAATTCAATCCAAAAGCTTAAATTTTTGGGTGATACCTTTTTAATGATTTTTATTATTTTCTTTCCCATTTAAATAAAAAACAACAACGATAATGTTATATATTTTTCTCATATGGGCTTATAATTTCTCCAGCTGCTTGAGATAATTTTATCTCCGGCTACTAAATCATAACCGTACAAAGATGGATCAATGGCGATAAAGGAAGAGAGAGAAAATGAGAATCATAACCATTCAAAGGTGAATCAGTTAATATAAGGAAATAAATAAACAAAATAACGTAGTTTTGGAATGGCCGGAGATAAATATATCTCAAGCTGTTTGAGAAATATTTTTCTCATATATATATGGATCATGATCATTTTACACCGGTGTCAGACTAATAAGTCTCACACCACATCTTAATCGTTGATTTCCATGCATCCAACGGTTATAGTTTAGGAAGTCATATGAATTAATTAATCATTAATTACACTAAAAATACCAATCGATTATTTTCGTCCATTAACGGCTAAGATGTGGTGTAAGACTTGTTAGTCTTACCCCGATGTAAAAAGAACCCGCCCCTATATATATATATATATTGTTGGATTTTTGGGTCTAAATCCAATGGGTTATGAATAAGAAGTTTGATTTGAAAACGAGTGTCTTTTTGTCGTCGAACGAATGTGTTTTTTCATGTCGAACTGATGTGTCTTTTCGCATCGAACTGATGTGTCTTTTTATGTCGAACTGATGTGTCTTTTCGTGTCGAACGGATGTGTCTTTTTATATCGAACCGATGTGTCTTTTCGTGTCGAACGGATGTGTCTTTTCATATCGAACTGATGTGTCTTCTCAGGTCGAACGGATGTGTTGTTTCGTCAATGAAAAGGTGCATTTTGAATCGTGACCTTACGTTTTCTATAAATATGTAGAGAGTCAGAATTTTAGATAAGTTTTTTCTATCCATTGTGCATCCATACCATAGTATTAGATAGTGTGATTCCTCAGACATTCAGTTGTGTTCGTACGGGCTTATGATCGATAATGTCATCGTTCTGAAGTCGCAATCCGTTCTATCCTGGAAGGCAATTGTTCAACAACCTTTGGCATCAATAGAGTGAACAAAATATCTTAAGGAGACAACAACTGTTGGGCTCGGATTCATCTACATATTGACATCTCTTTTATATATCATGTGAGTTCGTTCCTTATTTTTATTGCACTTTAATTGCAAATTTAATTATAGCATCTTCGTTGCACGGGTTGGAATCTCTTGGTGATTATTCACTCACTATCTTCGACAACACACACACACACACACACATATATATATATATATGAGGTAGGATCTTTTGACACCGATGTCAACTTTGAAATTTGACACCTCATCTGAGAACCATTAGATCAAAAAAATCAATGGCTATGATTTGTAAGCATGTGACACCATTGATATTTTTTGATCTAATGGCTGAGAGATGAGGTGTCAAATTTTAAATTTGACACTGGTGTCAAAAGATCCTGTCTCTATATATATATATAGGGAAAACACTTTCTCCTTTAATAGGATAATTATTTTCCCATGTTAGTGGGAGATCGTTTTGCGTGCAATATTTTTTAATTTTTTATTTATGGTAGAACCCATTTGAATTATGTATGTGTAGAAATTTTGCTAACCTCATGTTAAATGATAAATACAAAGTCTATATATATATATATATATAACAACAATAACCCTACTTCTCTTACTTGCATTTCTTAGGTGTTGACTTGGCAGCATACAATCTTTTACGTTTTTAATTTAGTAATACGTTTTTAAATATTTTTATTTTAAGATATATTTTTTTATAATAAAATAAATTATAGCGTTAGTACTCAATGGGTGCAGCTCAGTTGGTAACTTGGTGCTGAGTTAGTGGGGTTGGATATGTGTTCGATTCCCGCCGAATGCATTCTTGGGGAGAGGGCTGAACCTTTAGCCATCACTGTTCCTCCGCACTCTGGATTAGTCCCATAGCCGGCTCAAAGAGTCGAAGCTCGTGGGGATACCGGAGGGAGCCAACTCGTCTCAAAGAGATAAATAGGGTTGGGTAACTCCAAAAAAAAAAAAAAAATTATAGCGTTAGTCTTATTAATAAGAATAACCTAAATTACTTAGTAGATCTGGCATAGTATTCTTCGAATAATATAAAATATACTAAAAATAGTTTTTAATAGTGTATTATTAAAATTTATCTTCTGAACAATTTAACAGTAAAACATGAAATACAATTATTAATTATATGTAATGTACCATCAATATCAGCTAAATAGTGCAATCAAAAAATCAATAACACATTATATGTCATTTACATATATAGACTGACCTATTAAACGTGGACAGATATCTTACGTCACTGAGTCATTTGTAAGCACATTTTATTTAGGGAAAAATATTTTGTCTTTATAAATAACACAACTTATATTATTTTATTTTCATAAAAAAGTGAGACTCATATCTTTATTTTTTTTGACCACTTTCTCTCTCCTTCTATCTATATTTTTCTTTCATTTAAAATAACGTAACTTTATATTTTTTAAAATGAGATACAATTTTTCCTTTTAGTTATGATGTAAATGTTTGAATAAAGTTACCTTAGAACGACTACTGCCTACACCGAAACCTATATTATTTATCTTCTATGACCGAATAGTGTAGACATGTTGGAATGCCTCGTGGTGTTTACAAAAAAAAGTTATTTCTCTATTTATAGCTAGAGTATTTTCTCGAAAGAAATGTTTAAGATATATTTTCATTAATAGTTATGCATATAGTTTTTATACAAATCAGAATAGATATTTTTAAAAAAAAATAAATCAATTTTGTTGTCTTATCTATCTTAAAGAATGAAAGAAATGATTTTTAATTTATTTATACATATTTTATTTATATGTTTTTTTGATTTTTTATATTCAACACAAATTAATCAGTTACATATATATTTTATAATGCAAAAAATCATAAATATTATTATTTTTTATTTTATTTGATTTTTAAAATATCTGTAAAATAATACAAGAAACAGTTACTAGTTGATTTACCTTCAATAAATATAATTTTAAGTTATCGCTAACTTTTATCATATCATAACTTTATAATAAACACTCTCTATACACTAAAGAATAGGGCATCCAAGATGGACCTTTAATAAAAAAAAATAACAAATTGAAACCGTAAACTCTAACCGCTTAGGAATCTTAAGTAAGTTCACTTGTTGGGTTTGGGCCATGCAAATTATGAATCGGCTTATAATCTAACTAGACATGTATCGAAATGGCACCCATGTTCAATTTAAGTCTTATAAATGTTTAATTGAAGTTTTAATGCTTATATTATGATTAATATGTGATTTAGTCTTTCAATACTTTTTATTTTGATTTTTGGATTGTTACGATGAAATCCTTATGTTTTTTTTTTCTCTACATAAAATTCCAAATTCTCATTTTACACTCGAATGATTGGGATGATTGACAAATTTAAAATAAGAAAAGACTTTAAAGATCCAAAATTCAAAATTTTAGTGAAATTCTAGATGAAGCTTCAAAATTACGTACCGAAAAGACGACGAGAGTGTTTGTAATCATGAGCCATGACCGCCCACCGTTTTTGTTTGTATAAAATGAAACATGGAAACGCAAACACGCCAGCTAGAATGGAACAGGAACGTGTCAAAGTTTGAAAACTTGAACATATCATAAGTCATAACATACGAGACAACGTGGAATACAGCACAACACAAAATAATCAAAAGTCCAAATTGCCTTGCTTTTCCTTCCGGGGCCCACTTTTTTATTTCTTTTCTAATAAATTATTCGATGCCAGTCCTCTTATCCAGCGGCACCTCAAAGTAGCCAAACAAAGATTCTTATTCAATTTCATAATAACAATAATAATTACTCACTTATTCAATTAAAAATTAACCTCGCGTCATATAGTTCTTATTTTCACAAACTAACGTCATATAATATATAATTTGTTTCAAGTTACTGTAATTTAGTGTTGAATTTATTATTATACTGATATCTGTCGCGTACCTAGTTGGGTATGCAAAAACTATTGGTGCAAATTCCATGATTCAACTTGGGTTATTTGGAGTCAGCCACCACCTTTTTCATACCCCACTTAACCAAATAGCCATCGGTCTCAGATCCCACAAACCCCATCATCATATTTTCATATTACTCTTTGCAGTTTGCACTGCAAGCTTTCATCTTTTTTTTTTTCTGTCTCTGCTTATTGAATTCAGTGTGATTTGGGAGAACGTAGTTTTTTGAATAGCGAGAGAGAGAGAGACTCTCCTTTCTGCATCCAAACCAATCACTGATGTCAGTAAGTTAACACCCTTTTTTTTTCATCATTACTTTATGATTATGTTTATGACCTTTTTTTTAGAACCCCATTATCCACAGCATAAAGTGCCTAATTATTCATCTGATATAGCTTATAAAAATCTCAGCTTTCTTGCACACATGTACAATCTGTCTCTCTTTTTTTTTTTTTTTGGTAGTTACAATCTGTCTCTTTTAGATATGCAAAGGAGGGGAGAGGGAAAATATGCTTTCTGATTTAGTTATGAGTACAAGATGGGTTAGACTTGATTGGGTATGTGATAGGAGGTGAAATTTTCACACTTGTTAATGGATCTCCCTGATTTTCTTCTTCTTCCTTCTCTAAATTTTCCCTCTTGTCTGAGGTTTTTCTTTTCCCCTCAAGTTTCCAGTTTTTTTTTACTTTGCCGGTGGGTTTGCTGGAATATTTTCTTTGATTTATTTTTATTTTTTGATGGGGTTGCGTGATTGAGATACATTTTTCTTTGTTGTCTCAAATGTGGACATGTCTCCATAGTTAATTTCCACCGTGAATAGAAATTTGAGTTTTTTTTTTTTTTTTTTTTGCTCTCCTTGAAAAATGAATATTTGAAGTTTGACTATGAAAATCAGTCTTTTTCAAGTGAATCTCTAGAACCACTAGTCCAGATTGCTTAATAAGGAACTCTTAGTTTTGTTTTTTTCCCGGGAAAATTCATGGCCTACGGAGGGTATCTTTGGAAAGTTGCCTCATTGACTCCGGGTGTAAAAAGGAAGCTTCTTAACAATTTAAGTTGAAGCAAAAAGTAATAAAGAATTTAAATTTTTCCTCACACCAGATAGAACTGACGCTGAAACTGTAAAGCATACTTTGATTGTTTGAACTTTGAAGTCTATGGCTAATATATAATATAAAAGAAGATATTATCCAAAAAAAGGCTGCTATTCGAATGTTTGAAAACTGACAGTGCCTTTGTTCCAAACAGGATTAATTGGTAGGTCCATAAAGAGGATATATTTCAGTGATCATCTATCTGCTTTGTACAGCTAAGAAATCATAAAGGGGGTCAAGTTGGTTAGGTACTAGAGAGATATATCCTAAGAGTAGTGAAAAATAATCATAATCATGGGATCTTTCAAGGGTCATGCGTTGCCAGGGACATTGTTTTTTGTAGTTGGGATATGGCATATATGGGGTTCTGTGGTGAGATATGTTTGTAATCATAAGACATTTCGAGTTCGGGTCTGGCATCCTGTACCTGGTTTTGATGGGAGGCTCAAGCACTTGGAGCTCTATGTTATTGCAATCGGTGCTCTCATTGACTTGTGCATCGAGCTCTTATATTCCACTCACCTCAAGTTTTTTGTTGATGGAGTCCTTAACCCCTCTCACATGAATGACTTTGAGCACTCAGGAATGCTTCTTATGTTTTTTATCTTCGGTGTTGTTGTCCTACTTACAGAAAACACCAGGTTAGTTCCTCTCTCACTAATTTCTCCTGTTTTTCTTCCTTGGCCATTCACTGATCTCAGTACCTATTTCAATAGGATAAATTATGATAATACAATTTCAATGTTATTTGTCATTAAAGAATTAAGGATGTTCATCTCATAATCAATCAGTCCAGTTTATTGAGTTTAATCAATCCAAACCTGGATTTTTTCTTTTTTCTCCTTTTTCTAATGTCAAACAAATTATAATGCCCGATTCTAAAGGTTATTTTCCTCAATAGGATTTTAAATTTTCCTTTTCATTCATTTCATCTGATTAACATTGGAAACTAAACAAAAGGTAAGGTAGTGCAAAATGATTGTGTCAAAATGAGGCTTTAGCGTCTTACTGAGACTTTTGTAGTGTCACTAAGTTACTATCAATTGAAATTGGGCTTTAAGTGCTGCATTGTTGAAAACAAATGAAAAAAATTGGATTCTGATTGAAACAGTTAATAACTTCGCAACATAGATATACCATGCTTTTGATAACAGTAGAAACCCTCAAGTCATGCAGTAAAGCTCCAATAAATCCATGGCTTTGCTTCTATATAGTATCTGATGACCATATATGCTTTCTCATAGCCGTCTTTCTTCTTCTAATGGTTGTCCCAATAAAGAAAATTGGTGTTCTCACCAATTGACTAAGTTTACTTATTTGTGTCCACGAGATATGTTAATTCTTAAGCAGCCTAGTGTCTCCTATCAATTCTAACATGAGAGTTGGTGCTTCTGTGTAAAACTGTAAATGATGCATCCTTTGCTCCTTGTGGCACAGTGCACCAGTGGCGAACCCAGGAATTTTTTCTGTGGAGGGCTAAAAATTAAACATTTGTTTCTCTCTTCAAACATAATATATGAAAGGCCAAAATACGAAAAATTAAATATTTGTTCCTCTCTTCAACCACAATATGTGAGAGGCCGAAACATGTACTAATTACTATGATCTAAATAGATAATTCAAAGCAGACCCCTATCATTTCTTAACCTCTTTTTCTATTTACTCACTGTTAGCCCAACAAGAAAAAAAAGCCAAAGATAAATTAGAAGAGACAGATTGCCAAGAAGCACAATCACCAAAATCCTTCTGCCCCTCACTTTCCTCTCTGTCATGAATCATCAGAAAAGGAGAGGGATCGAAAGTATAAGGTTCATTCTTTCATAAGACTCTTGGACTTCTTATTTTCATTCATGGATGGGAAGATTTGTGCTAACATCTAAGCATAATAAAAGTTGAAAATGTAAGTTTCAAGTCGAGGTTTAAACTATAATTTAAGGGAAAGATTATATTTATAAACTTTTTGTTTAGAAACTCTTACAAACTACACCGTGTCTGACCGTCATACTTTAATCAAGAGTGTATGACTGGTCATACTTAATGTAATTTGTAAAAAAAATTTGTAAACAGATCTTTTCCCATAATTTAATGCTAATTGTTACCACCAGGTCTGTGCCAATAAACAAGCCCCACGTAGCTAAAAGAATTTGAACTAAGAGAAACCATGTAGCTCTATTGGTGGTCATTGATACTTCCAACACTGTGATGTAATCTTAAATAAACCTATTTTTTGTTAAAGCAAAAAAAGACAAGAAAGCATTAAATCTTTGATTTGATAATCGTGACTTTCTTTTCTCTATCTCCTAACTCTCTCTAAAACCCCGAAACTAAACCCTGAGCTTACTTTTCAATTCGACAAGATCTAATCATGGTACTGCACTCTTTCTCATTCTTTTTTTGTTTTGTTCATTTCGTTAACTTTCTTGGAGGGAGAAAAAATGCAATCAGAGTTAGAGGAGTTTCAATAGATATAGGACCTGAGAATATAAAGAAGCTCTATAAACTCTCTGCGGTGGGAGAAAACTACTTCACATTAATGGAGAGAAAAAATGGAGGTTTCTCGCATTATACTTATGTTAAAAAATTTCTTCTATGTACCAAAAAAAAAAAAAAAAATTGGGGGGCGGCCGCCTACCCTGGCACCCCCCTGGGTCCGCCCCTGCAGTGTACTTGATATACAGTTTTCATAGACAGCAGAATGAGGCAAAACTTCTAGTTTGAATGGTTTCCTCTAGGCTTGTTGCTGATTCACTCAGTAAATCATTATTGGGGAGGAAAAAGTTAGATGCTATGAAAATTCATGAAGATCTCTGTGCAGTGAGAGGGGGTTAAACTTATGTAAATAACCATTTCAACCCAATAACTTAAGTTGTTAGGTGAAGACCACATTAATAGTTTTATATTATGTTACTCTAACATGCAAACTATGTTTGAATACATATTATATTTCACGGTCTGCAGTATATTGGTTATTAAACCTAGTTTAAATATGTAATGTATTTGCCAATTCCCTTGCAAGCATCTTAATATGTCTAGTTTTCCTTCTCACCCTTTGTGATTTGTTCTTGCTTAGATTTCTTCCCTTGCCAGAAGGTGCTCTTTGTTTGATTGCTGCCACAGCATTCTGTGCGGAGTATCTTCTGTTCTACTTTCATTCAACATCACATAAGGGCCTTGAGGGCTATTACCACACCCTCCTTGTCTTCCTGATAGGGCTGTGTATTTTATCTTCAATTGGTGGAGCCCTTTTGCCAACCAGCTTCCCAGTGGATTTATGTAATGGCATTGCCATGGCACTGCAAGGAATCTGGTTCTATCAGACAGCCTTTGTTCTTTATGGTCCCATGCTACCAGATGGTTGTAAGCTTAGGGATAATAGTATCGTGTGTCATTCAATTGAGAGTGAGATTCGGGGTGAATTGCTTGCTAACTTTCAGCTCTTTCTTGCTGTCCTTGCTGTCCTCGTGGGAACTGTAGCATCCTATGGCTTTGCAGCTTCAAGATATGGGAATTCTCAAGTTAAGAGCTTGCAAACAATGCAGGTTGGATTAGATCAAGACTGAAGTAGTATATGCTATTTTGGTGTCATTCTTTTGAAACTGGGAATATGTTGGCAGCATAGTTTCTTAATTCTTATAGAACATGTCTGTATATTAAAGTGACAATGTTCTTGCTTATGATCACTGAAAATTGAAAAAGTAACCCACGCCCCCTGAAAGGAATAGGATGTAAAAGAAATAAGGATATTGTTCTTCTCTCTGGCATATGATTGCAAAATGAAATAGATTTTTGTTCTTCCCTTGAATCATATTCTCATCGCTATCCCCATTTTTTTTTATATGGCATTTAGTGCATTTACTTTTCCGCTCTAAACTATCATGTTACAAATACAAGGGTCGAGGATCATTATTCCGACAAAATAATAAGCAAAAATCTATATGCTGCTGGCTACGTTTCTTAGGGTTTTTGACCATTTTGCCCCTAATTAAATAATTAATAACCAATTTGCCCCTCTCCCAGAACTATCCACCATCCTGCCCCCATTTAGTCGATTATGTTGCACTTTTAATCGACTAAATGGGCTAAACTCAGAAATTATGAAACGCGAATTTTAGTCGACTAAAAACCCACCTTAATCGACTAAATTGTTTGCACTTTTAGTCGACTAAGCACATTATTTAGTCGACTAAATGTCGCAGATCAGGTTTTTTAAAAATCCCCCATTTCGCAAAGGGGGTTATTTTCAAACCCTAATCGACTAAAAGGCTGCATTTCGTCCCCTCTCTCCAACCAAGTCCGAATCTCAACCCTTGAAGGTGCGATTGAAGCTTCCTTGGTTCACACTTGCGAAATCGACATTTAGGTAACGTATTCTGACTTGCATTTGGTTTTAAGTTTAGTTTTTTTTTTGGTTTTCTTCATGCATTTGATTTATGTTTGCGGTTTTGTGGATTTAGGTTAGGGGTAGGGTGCTAAGTTTGTTGTGAGGGTGAGGGTTAGGGTTGATGTGGTGCCTTAGGCTTAGGGTTAGGGTTATGTTAGGGTTAGGGTTAGGGTTTACGTTGCTGTTTTGTTTGGGTTGTAGTGTTTAGGGTTAGGAATTGGTTTTTGTGTTCTGTTTTAGGGTGTAGGGTAAGGGTTAGGGTTAGGGTTAGGGTTTCTGTTTCTGTTTTAGGGTTAGGGATTGGGTTTCTGATTTCTGTTTTATTTTAGGATTAGGTTTTGTTTTTTATATTGAATTTTAAATTTTTTGATATTGTTATTGTTCATTGATTTTTGTTTCCACTTGCATTGTAGGTACAGTTGTTCCCATGGCTGGCCGTAGAAGATCGTCTAGCACTGGAAATGAGAGACGACAAAAGCTACGACAAGACCATCCGTCTTCGTCAAGGCCACAAGAGGAAGACCTCGCTGCTGTGGACCTCCCATTCGGATACTTGTTCGAGAATGACCCGGTGGTTCATGAATCTTTTGTCCGTGACTTTGTTAACCGACCGATTTGTGGGGCCAAATCACTTGATACAGCCTTTTTTGAACAAGAAGGTTTTAACATTGTGAGGTGGTTGGAGGAATCACATCTTAGGACCTTGGCTGAACTGTCGTGTTCATATTCTGAGCTGCATGTACGGGCCTTCTACCATAATCTCAGCTACCATCACGGTGAGCTGAGGTCTAGGGTCTGCGGGGTGGACATCATCATGACGGTGAACAAGAAGGTCTAGGGCCTTCTACCATAAGTTTGTTGTAAGAAGTCCTCAACCTTTTTTGCAATTCTCCAGCCTTTGTCCTTTACTTTTTGGATCTTTTCACGCCTCTTCACAAAATACTCAACAAGTCTACTTTGCGTCATCTTGACCAATGCCGTTACTGGCAAATTACGTGCACCCCGTAGGACCTTATTGATACACTCAGATAGGTTTGTCGTCATATGACCAAACCTTCGGCCCTCCTCATCATAAGACCTACACCATTTCTCTTTGGGAATCTGATCTATCCATGAGGCTACTTGTGGGTTACTGTCGACAAATTCTTGAAATCTTAAATCAAAGTGAATCTTCGAACACATGTAACCTGCAAAAAAATGAACCCAAATTGCAATGAGTTATACATAAACAACATTACATACAACATGTACAAAATTCATGTAAATAGGTTACCTAGTTTCATCAGCGTTTTCTTCAGTTCCACGTCCCTAAACTTAGTGTTGAAGTTGCTTCCAATGTGACGAAGACAAAACACGTGATACGCAAATGGAGGCTGCCAACCGGCATGATCCTTCACAGCCCTGATGACGCTGGGGTGACGATCGGATATTAGACAGATACCATGCCTACGTGTGACATGGAAACGCATCTGGCTAAGAAACCACAACCAATCATCCAATCTCTCACCCGGTGGAACAATGGCAAATGCAATAGGCAGAATGAATCCATCACCATCCTGTGACGTAGCAATCAAGAGGGTACCTTTGTATTTCCCGTACAGGTGCGTGCCATCAATTTGGATTATGGGTTTACAATATTTGAAAGCCTCAATGCACTGGTGAAAAGTCCAAATACCCTGCGAAAGACAGCCTTATCGGTGTAGACTCGTCGTTTGTCACAACACTGATCCGTATCAATCTTGATCACAAAACCAGGATTTATCTGTGTCATGTAGTTCAGCCAACCAGGTAAGATGACATATGATTTTTCCCAGTCGCCAAACAACTTCACAGTGGCCTTCATTTTAGCCTTCCTATAAGATATGTTGTATCCATACAAACTTTGTACCCTCTCCTGAATAAGAACTGGTTTCGTGGATGGATCTTCTTTTAACATACCTACACAAAATTCGAAGTCAACACAATCAATAAATATACCGAAAAATTAAACCATAAACAAAAATGAATGTAATACATACTTATAATGGCTGCACAGATTACATCAGAATCCAGCTGTCTATGGTCCCGAGTAAGGCCTTGGTTTAGGCAGGTGTGTTTTTTACCCCACTTACTAACAACCCAACTATTTCCATTCTTGGGCAACATAGCCCGCACGTACCAGGGACAACCATCATTATGGTGTCGACACTTCATCACAAATCTATGGTCATCACTTTTTGCCACCACAGCAGTACGATGAGACTTCATACAATATAATTTGACAGCATGTTGCATTTCAGATTTAGTTCGAAACTCCTGGTACAAATATAATGGATCTCCTAAATGCCAGCCACCGTGGATGTCATCGTCGCCATACAATATCTCCGTCTCATCATTAGGGTGAGCCCAATTAATGAACGAATAGTGTGGGCTGTCGTTCCAAAATGGCTCAATCTCAGACCCTACGTCCAAATTTAAACTTATCCGTCAGTACGAAAGAAAACACAAATATATATATATATGCAAAATTAAAACTTTATATTACAATCTTACCACTGCTAACAGGGTCAACACGGAGCGGTGGCATAACCTGGGAACTCAAGTTTTCTGAACTAGTATCAGCGTCAAAATTCCCCTCTACGTCCGTATCTGAGGTGTCACCCAGCGGAATAACACTCTCGGGTTCACCATCGTCTTCACTGTCCATATCCTCGTCATGCCCATCCTCATCCTCGTCTATTTCCCTCAGTGGTATCTGACTTAAGACAGGTGCAGGTGCAGATAAACCGACCACTCTGTCTTCTTGACTTTGACTTCTTCCATGCACAGGTGCAGATGAAGATTGACCACAGTCTATTTCAACATATATCTCAATAAAGTTTTGAAATTTTCGGTCCACAATTGCATCTATGACACAATCCACATCTTCATCGTCACATATATCATTACCAATGTAGTATATAGCATCCTTACCAACTGTAGACTCTACCCTGGCGATCATCCGTTGAATGCCTTGGCTCCCGTGTAGCCCCAATTTTTGGTTAATCCTCCCCTTCAGCTCATTGTACGTAGTGCCCCTTTTGATTTTCAACATTTTCGTTTTTCCTTCAAATTGAACACCGTTGGGGCCTTCATAATGCTTTCCATCATAGTAAATCATGGTAACATACATGTTTGGACTTGAGCTCATCTTGCACACGAATTTTGGGGGTAGGAATCAGATTTTAGGGGTTAGGGTTCGGATTTGGGGGAAACAATTGAGAAATAAAGGAAAATGACAATGATTTCACAATTACTATGTCTTAGAGGTGGTGGGATGAAATGGAAGGGTGATTGGAAGGTTCCCAGCTGACAAACAAGAGAAAGAGACCAAGAGAGAAGTTTTGATTTCGAATATTTTGAAAATGAGCCCAAGAGAGGTCTGGATATAGGGTTTTTCGCGATCTTTAGTCGACTAAATAATGTGCTTAGTCGACTAAAAGTGCAAACAATTTAGTCGATTAAGGTGAGTTTTTAGTCGACTGAAATTCGCGTTTCATAATTTCTGAGTTTAGCCCATTTAGTCGATTAAAAGTGCAACATAATCGACTAAATGGGGGTAGGATGGTGGATAGTTCTGGGGGAGGGGCAAATTGGTTATTAATTATTTAATTAGGGGCAAAAGGGTCAAAAACCCACGTTTCTTATCATGTCAAAGTTTAGAATAAAATTGATGGGTTTGTTATGCAGCCGGAGATGAAGACCAGTTTATTTCACTATTATACACGCCGAGACTGGAATTTTTTTTATTTTCTTAATATATTTGACTTCTTTCTAATTAACTCTATCTTTATATTACAGGTTATTATATTTTAAGCTATTTGAGATAATTTTATTTCCGACCACTAAATCATAACCATACAAGATGAATCAATGATAATGAAAAAAGAAAAAGAGAATCATAATCATTCAAAGGTGAATCAATTAATATAATAAAATAAATAAACAAAATCATTAAATTCGGTGCGAGTTCAAAATTAAGGTTTTAAATTCTTTCCAAATATGATATTAAATGGAATCAAACACATATTCTCACCTCCAACTGCTTAACTCTCCGCAATTGAGCGACGACCCTCCACTATTTAGTTGTGTGGATGATCTTCTGTCCCTGTAACTATTCAACCCCATTTCACCAACCGTATTTCATCAAATAAATGTAAAAGCACCCCTTTCACTTTCTTCTCTTCAACCTTTTTTCTTCAAATCCAATGAAGGATGCAACAACCAAAAATTAATAAAGTATTAAGAATTTACTTTATTACAAAGTAATAAAGTTTTAACTTTTTTTTATTCACTGTTATTATGCCGTATGCATCAAGCAATTAATAGTTCACGTTAAAGCTTGATATTCGATCAAATTAAATTAACTTACAACCTAATTTTAAGAATTACAATATAATAATTTTCAAAAGACATATATTTTCTCATTTTTATTCGTGCGTAATTCCCCACAAGTAAAAAATATACATATACAAGGTATATGTGCAATTTTCAAAACTAGAGAGTAATTTTGCCCAATTAAAACTGTATGCGAAAACAGCATAGAAATCTACATAACTATTAATCTTTAGCAATGAACATTATTCCAGAAACAACCTTCCAACTTCATACTAAAACGTCAAACATCACTTGGCATACATGGGCTACTCCCATGAACATTGGGATCTATGATGCCATATTGCATATATATGATAGGGTAATTTAGATCCTGTTCCCAAACATATCTAACACAACAAATACGAGGATTTCTGTAGTCAAATATTAAAATCAGTCTATATTTAGTTATGCTTCCTAGGATAAGATATTTCACAGTACGGTGGGTCCCAATTCATATATCTAATATGGGACGATAATGGTTTCTATAAGCTCTTGAAGGGGAGCCAGTTCCTTTTTGTCAATCAGCCCAAACTCCTGCACAAACAATAACACATTAATCTCAAATAAAATCTACAAAAAAATAAATAATAATAATAAACCCTTGGGGGAAAAAAGTTAAAGATGTACTCATAAAAACTCAGCAAACCAAAGAACTTATTTCAACACATAATAAACAAAAGTAAAAAATGAGAGACTTACACAGGTAAAGAGGATAAAATGCTTGAAGCATGTGTTTAGGTGGGCCTCTTCTTTGAGGCTCACTATTTTCTGAAAGTGAGAATGATATATGTGAGCATATACACGGAACAACCGCTTGAATATTGTCTTCACGACTTCCTTAAAGTTGGGAGGAAATGGTGAACCTACACGATTCCATAGATTATGGTACAAAAGTGAAAATAATTATGATTTATGATGAGAGAATCTAAAATTCTTTTAAGAAAAAAAAAATATAAAATCTTTACCAAGCTTCTGTGGGAATATGGATTCATCATCAAGCTGTGTTTCAATCCAGTCCATTAGATATTCAACATATTTTGGAGCAGAAACCTCGATAGGTTTCTTAATTTGTACACCATCTGCCCATCTATACTCATACCTAAAGTTTCATGTAATGGACAACATAAGAGCTAGAAATATATACAAATTTAGTACAGATGAGTTTAGAAAGAACCAGCGACTGGATTTGTCATTATCATAATGGAATGATCTTTATAAGAAAAACCCTTGTAAGTGGAGAAATTTGATGTACTTCCGGAAAGAACACTTCAAAGTCCACAACCCACTCATTAATAAATATTACCTAGATTCTAGAAAATGAACAACTGGCATGAAGAAAAGGCAAATTTTACATGAATGCATTAATAAATATTACCTAAAGTCCACAAACATAGAACCGAAAATAAAGAAATCAATGCAACATAATTGAAGAAAAGGCAACTTTAACATCTCTATGCATAATAAATATTTCTCTTTACCAAAAACAGTGTATTCATACATAGGGCATAAATTTTAAGCAGGCAAATAATAAAAAATATAACCAAGACATAATTGATTGCTGATAACTTTATGCACCTAGGTACCCATTTATGAACAAAATTACCAAAAGAATACAGCATGGAATAAATAGCAACCACCAAAACAGCAAGAAACTGAAGTTCAAATTCTTCTTCTTGTAGGGGATACTCGCGAGGAGTTAACAATTTATGACAATGCGCTCTAAGCTTCAACAACACAATCCACTGTTTTAAACTTATTTTTACAATCATTTAGTTACCTGTTACCTCAAGATATAGATATATCTGACTGAATGATTTTCTCATTCAACAACTAAGATAGTTGATAGAATATCATCTGACTGAATTTCTAAAAGCATACAAATGCTTTTCCCCTCATAAAGAAAGGTAAACAAGTAAATCAATCAGTTAATTATGCCTTACTTGGGTCCTGCAGACATTGTCCGACAATTCTCAGGAGTACAAAACTCTGTGAGGGTACCATAAAGCAGATTCACCTGGTTGAAGAAATCAACAGCTGAAATGCAGGCATGAAAAAAGTCAGATTACTGGATTTCAGAATTCTATTAATACATAATTGGGGAAACAGGAGAATGAAAGGCAAGAGAAAACTTCAACAAGAATACACTCGACAGTGCATAAGAGAGGATGATAGTTACTGTTGACAGCTAGCCACTCATTTAAATCCTCCCCAGGAGGTAGCTTTACTGCTTCTCTTAGATTTCCACTACCCAATGTGGCATCAATATGTTTTCTAAGCTGAGCTCCCTGCAGTAATAATAATAATGATAATAAAAAATACTAGTTAACAGCAGAATTTTGTTCATCCTCCAGCACAGCAGGGTCAATCTTGGAAACCCAAGACAGACTATCCTGATACTCTTTTTTCCCCGCACATTTATCACAAGTAGTTTGTAGAAGATTATTGTTAAAACTACAATGAAGAGAACTTTACAATCTTGTGCTCTGGAAGTTAGAATGATACAATACAATACGTTGACAAAATTATAAAAATTTAGGATACAGGTATTGAGATTTGGAAGATATTAAATTAAAACCCTAGATTATATTTATATACGCAAAAAAAAAATTACTGTATAACTCATAACATATCTAGCTTCTAACTGTGTTTTGTTTTCTTATCTTTTAATATTGTATTTTTAAGATCAATGAAACACGTTTTCATTACAGAGATTTTCCTTGTTGCTATTGAATAGACTTTTACGGGAAACAAGAATATTTTATTGCTTAGAGAGTTAGAGCAATCTAAAAAAATAAAAAACATTCTGATGCCTTTCGCGGATTCATATTTAAAGTAAGGCATTCCACCTCAATTCAAATTCATTGAATTGGCCCTCACCACTCCCCCCCTCTCCCCCTCCCCCTTCTTAATGATGAATCTTGCTTATAAAGTCAAGGCCCAGGGCTTTAAATGAAGAAAAAAAAAGATTAAAATACTCAAGAACAATTTAAACAAAGAAATTATATTAAATTGAATATTTGAAAAAAGATCACTGAAAAATAAAAGGAACCGACCTTACTACCAGAAGGAGTACTTTTTTTGGGGCGGAACGTTCTCTGATTTCTGTTGCAGAATAATTTGTCAGGTAGAATACCAACAAAATGACAGAAGAGAATCAATCTAAACTGAATTACTAAAAATATTCATAAACACCTTTTGCACATGTAACAAGCATACTGGTATCATGCAAAGTTGCACCCATACCAATGCTAATTATTTCTCTATTGTTGATAAGTATCTTCAATAAGAGTCTTTGTCTTAGGAAGCCTAATTAGTGATTTCTGGGGAGCCGAAGTCAAATAAACTTTAATGGCCTAATTATACAAAAATCTGCTTGAACTAGTTACCCAAATAATCAGCAAATGTTTAAATAAAGAGTGCATGCAAAGGTAACAGCCTACTTTTATACACACCCCTAGCCCCAACTAATCAACAATACAAGTCAGAACCAAATTACTAACAGCCTACTTTTAACTACTTTATCAGAATTCTGACTGCCTGTCTAAACTGGTTTGGACCTCCTACTGTACACTCTTAAGGCTTGTGACCCAAGTGAAGATGGTCTGTAACAACATATTTTAAAGAATATTAATGGAAACCTTTTTACCAAAAATAAAAAAAATGCTAACAAGGATAATCATTCTTGTAGTAACAATAGTAATTAGCTTTATGTTCCAGTCAGTTTCACATTTTATTTAAGATTGATATTTCTGAATATATCTCTCTCTCCCCATTCATCCTCTTTTCACATTTGAGCAAGTTTAGCCAGCTTAATCTAATATGTATTTGGAAAAAATAAGGCAAGAAAATATGTTTTATGCTGTTAGGAATTTATGATATTGTCAATGCATCCGTGTAAATGACCACTTCAACCTAAAATCTTAATGTACCAGGTGAGGGCCTTTTTAATGGTTTATATTATTCTCTAACAATCAGAGGCAGTTATTACTTCCCCAAGTTAGATTTTTCCTACGATTGGTCATGTCTTCTTCAAATCCAATCTTAATTCGAACCACAAAAATAGGAGATATGACGCAATAAACCATAAGACAAACACAATGATTAGTTCATTAATGTCATATAAAGATAAAAGGAGATCCTTTGTTTCCATTAGAAATCTAGTATACTGCCAATGCATTAGAGATAGTTATTACTATACCAAGTAAGATCCTTCTTACAATTGGCCATGTCTTCTTCAATCCAATTTTCATTCAAACCACAAAAATAGAAGAGGTGACACAATAAAATATATTTAAACACAATAATTAGTTAATCAATATCGTACAAAGATAAAAAAATAAATCATTTGTTACCATTAAGAACTTAGGACACTGTCAATGCATCAAAGGTAGGACAAAAATAGATGATGTGACACAAAAAACTATAATATAAATACAATAAATAGTTAATATATGACATTGGTTAACTAATTATTGTGCTTATCGAATAGTTTATTATGTCATGTCTCCTATTCTTGTAGTTTGAATTGACATTGGTTTCAAAGAAAACATGGCCAATTGTAAGAACTTGGGGCTAGTAATAACTACCTCTGACGTATTAACAATATCCTAAATTTCTAATGACAACAAAGGATTTATTTTTATCTTTCTATGACATTGATTAACTAATTAATGTGTTTTTGGTATAGTCGACTGCATCAAGTCTCCAATTTTTTGAGGTTTGAATTTAGATTGAATTTCAAGAAGACACGGTCAATCATAAGAAGAATCTATCTTAACTACCACTGATGCATTGATAGTATCATAAAAAGCTAATGGCAACAAAGGATTTTATTTGTTTGAAGTTCAGACAGGCACCAAGTAACAAACTTTTACCGTGCACTAAACCACCATCTTATGAGAATGCTACCTCACACAAGTCTACTAGTCAACACCCACAGGTCAGTTGTTCAGAAAAACCTTCAACTTGCTCTTAGTTATCAACACAAGCATGCACTCATGTCATGGAAAAAAATAAATATAAACAGATGAAACTTACAGAGAGGGGGAAAAAAACATGTATACTTGATTTACGCTAATTACTTAACAAATTCCACTCCAACCCAAGCCAATATTACATGCTCAATACAATTACTGTGGGCAATCAAAGAGCATATAATAGATCAATGAAAACATAATAGTATTTCCCACTAAATTTTCTTATATACTGGCATTCACTTTTCTAGAGGCAGAAAATACCTATGCAAATTAACAACAGATGGCAAGGCATGTCAAATTGAATGCAAAACATGATCAAGATTTTGAATTAAAATTGAAAAGTAAGCTACCCATTTAAACACGGAACATGATCAGTGATCAGATCATAGAATAAACTGTAACAATTATAATAACAAAAATCCATTAAATGCAAAAAAACCAAAGCAAGGAAAATTCAACATTTGAAACTAACAGAGTATGAATTGTAGTAAAAATCGAAACTTTTCCACAAACCTGCCTAAACCGAAGAGGCTCATGACTGGGGCGAGAGAGAGAGAGAGAGAGGAGCACGATCGTACTGTAAAGCCCTTTGTTCCTTGGTGTGTTTTGTTTTCCACTCAGGAAAGCTTCCAACTTTAGATTTCGAAGTTTTATTTTTTATTTAATTCCTTTCGAAATTACTGAATCACCCTTACGTCTAACTTTAATCTCTCCCCCCGTCCCTTCGTGCTGACTTGTGTGTGATGTCATTATCTGTTTTGGTAATTAAAATAGTAATTTAATTGGGAACTTATCGCGTTACGGTGGAAAAAATTTGTATTTAGAATTTTAGAATTTTGTTGACGTTTCATTAATAAATAAAAATAGTATTTTATTCTCGAGGAGTGGGCAGTGGTGACCAGCCAATCTCAACTTATCTATCTATCCCGGGGAAACCTCGGGGTGTTTCTTTGGAAATTTTTTTGGAATAATAGAGAAATGAGATAGATAGAGAAATAATTGGAAAGATAGATAAAGTGAGATAAATAGAGAAATGTAAAAAAAAAGTTGTTTGGTGGAAAAAAACTTTACTGAAAAAATTAGGTAACTTTATGAAATCAACAGTACATTAAAAGCCAGATAACCGGTTTTCCGAAAAATCCCACCTTCAAATTGGGTTTCTAAACAGTGCGATATCTATGTTTCTCATAAATCCAGACAAATTGGATAGATGAGTTTTTGGTGAAAAACGTTGAAACAAATATGGTATTTCTAAAAGCCATACTTGAGAAAGATAGATATCCGCTGAAAAGCTCCCAACCAAACACTACCTTATTATAAATGAATAATAAATTTGATAATAATTTATAAATATCTATAAAGAGAGATAAATACAAAGGCATGGGGAGCTTTCGCGAATTTTTATTTTATACTAACACTTTATTATTATTAAAGTTTCTTGTCCTCTCCAAAAATATATTAGAAAAGTTAATTTTAAATTCTCTTCTTATTTATTTAGCTTGTATTATCAATTGGGTTATTAATGCATGAAATTTTAATACCAATCATATCACACTTAGTACCCGTTTAGATCCTTTTATTTTTAATTTATTTTTTTATAATTAAAAATTAAGTAAAACAGTTTTTGAAAAAAGATCTTATAAAAAAAATTCTTTTTTTATAATAATAATAAAAAATTCTAGGAATAACTTTTTTTTAATTCTTATTAGCTTTTCTTCAATTGCATTTTTTTAATAGAAAAAATCATAGAAATAAAGAGAAATTTTTGTTTATATGAGAGAAATTTTTGTTTTAAATATGTGCTTTTAAACCAAAAATTTATGTAATTACTAAATAGCTTTTAACTTTTTTTTTAACTTAAACTTAAAAGCTTTCGAGTGCCTTTTTTTGCAAAGGAAATTCTAGAGCTCATTGGTTTAGTGGTTTAGTCTTCAACTATGTGCATTTATTGCAACAGTTCTCTCCCTTCTCGTGTAGTAAATCTTCATTACTCTCACAATAGATGCTTCTTCACTACAATTATAAATAACTGAGATTCATATGACGTTAACAATAAAAGAGTAAGGAGAATAAATATAATTGATTCAATTGAATAAATTTCTTTTCTTATAATTTTAATAGGTGATACATTGAATTTCTCATCTCGGCGATACTTGGTCATTGATTAGGAAAATAACATGAAACTAGCCTTGATTATTAATTAATATGATGTGAAACTAACTACACTGTAAGATAAAAGGGTTCTTTAAGTTGCTGTTTAAAAAATAAATAAATAAATAAATTGCAAGGTCTGCATTTGAAGATGACAAATCCATCACATTGAAATTGTCAAACATTAAAAATAAATAAAAGGTTAAAGATATTGTCATCTTGATATAAGATAGAAGTGGTCTTGATCGAGACAGATAAATGATCAGTGAAATTATTTGCCAACTTTATCAAGAAAAACAAAGGAAAAAATGTGTGTCATTTTAAATGACACATTTTACATTCTTTCACTGTCATAAAAATGTGAGATTTATATTTATTTTTTTAAATTTCACTCTTCCTCATCATTTATTTATTTCTCTCACTTAAAATGACATAACTTTGTATATACTAAAATGATAACATTTTCCCAAAAACAAAACATGAATTGGTATTTAATATATTTGTTATTTTTAAAGTGACGGACTAAAAAGTATCTTAAGAATACTTTAGTTAAATAATGTGGTGGAGTTAGATGTTTTTCAGGCTTAGCTGCATAGTTGGGATCTTCAGGTTTTCTTGCAGTCTCATGATGTGGTAGTATTATGCTGCGAGATTGTACTACTAGAAAAATTCATGTTTTTAACGAAATTTTTTCATTGCAAACGATGAAAATTCTATCAAAAATGTATTTTTTGATTGATTTTTCAACGAAATTTTTTCATCTAAGATGGATTTTTTTTCCGTTAAAATTTGCAATGGAAAAAATTTTCGTTGAAAAATTTGACAAACAAATAAAGCCATAACATAATATTTATTTAATGAATTCCGTCAAAAAATTTGAATGGAAAAATTTTCTATCGAAAAGTTATGATATTATTTGTAACGGAATTTAATTAGAATTCCATTGAAAATTTTGACAAAAAATAATTCTGTCAAAAAATTATTCACAATTTGCAACGGAATTATTCTAGAATTCCATAAAAAAAAATGCAACAATAAATATTTCCGTCGAAAAGTTGTGTCTCAATTTGCAACGAAATTATTATAGAATTCCATAAAAAATTGAAACGGAACATATTTTCGTTGAAAAGTTGAGTCTCAGTTCGCAACGGAATTTTTCCTGAATTCCGTCAAAATATGCAACGAAAAATATTTCCGTTGAAAAGTTGCATCTCAATTTGCAACAAAATTTTTCCTGAATTCCGTCGACAGTAATATTATTAATTTTTTAAAAAGCATATATATCATATGAATTTTAATTCAACAAATACATAATAGTGTACCTGATAAACATTTGGTAATTTTATACAAATAATACACATCCAAACTATCATCAATGACCAAAAATACCATACATAATGAAAAGTATGAACATGTGACAATTTTATACAGATAATACACATCCAAACTAACACCAATTACCCAAAACACTATACATAATGAAAAGTACGAAATGTATACAAGTCGATATCACACATACAAATGAAGAACAATGTTAAATGGGCCAAGTGTGAAAAGAGACATCAATCCTCCCCATTATCACTCAGGCCACCACGATCATCACCAAGTTTTTCATCTTCGTTGTTATGGTCTTGGGTTGATGGCAATGTATCGTCGTTGTCCACCTAATATTGAGTGTCTAAGCAGCTAGGACTATAAATGCTCGTTGGAATCTTGCATGTGATATCACGCATTTCTTGCATTTTCATATGTAATGCTTCTATTGTGCTCTCGGACTGTGCAAGTTGATCCTTAATAGATGTATTTTCATTAGATAGTTGTGTAACTAACGTATCGTATGTTTATCCTATGAAGTTTTTGACTGAAGCAAAATTCTATTGAAAATTTTGAGGGAATTTTGTTTTCTGCCCAAAATGTTTTGACAGAAAAAAATACCGTTGATATTTAAGATGAAAATGGTTTATGTCGAATATAGTGACAAAAATTTTAAACGAAATTTAATTTATGTCAAAAATTCCAACGGTATTTTTTTCTGTCGAAAGTTTCTATCACTGATTACTACTGAATCTTTTTTCGTTTCTTTTTCCAACGAAAATGTTTTTCGTTGCTATTTTCAATGGAATTCAAATTTCGTCGATAATGGAGCCTTTTCTAGTAGTGTTGAATGAGGGTCTATTTGCCCATATTATGTTATATATAGTTAGATTAGTGAATATTTATATTTTTTTTAAATACTCAATTAATAAATTAAAATTTTTAAAATATTTTATAAAATGTACGGTATTTATTAAATTTATTTTTTGTTCAATATTCCTTATTTATAAATTCTTAGCAAGTTCTTGAATAATTCTTATTAATATTCTTCTTTTTAAAACTATTATTATCAATATAAAGTAAATAGTATTATTCAAGATGGTGAAAATGAATTAGAATATGGGTTTAATGTTTTTCATGTTATAGAAGATAAATTTATTTTTTACACACATAAAAGTGTGTGAGGCCCATATATTTTTTCTCTTTATTCTCTTCACATGGGCCCCACGTACTTTTATGTACATGTAAGATATAAAATTACCTTCTCCAACATGAAAAACACTAAACCCTTATAATCTATTTTAACAAAATATTCAAACAAGTGAAACATTTGTGTAGATAAAGGCATGCTTTAATATATAGAAGGAAAAGGTTCAAAAAAATTTCTATGGATTGTTTAAATGACATTTTTTTTAATCACTTATACACTTATGTTTTTTCATCTAAATTCATCTTTAATATTGTGAGAAACTTAATTAATCTGCTTATTTTATCTTTTCTAAAAAAAGACTGATGAAAAAATAAAAAAATAAGACCAAATATATTTGAAACTTATAATATTTACGGAAAAGACTAAAAGCTAAAAAAATGAAAATAGAAGAAAAAAAATCAAACATGTCTAAATCAAGAAGAAGAAAATTGATTAAGTCTCATGTTGTTACTCGTATACGGACATGGATGGACAGAGATTGGTCAATGAAGGTAAAACACACATATAGGGAAGAGAATTGTTGTGCGGATTGACTCTTAAATCTTCCTTTTGGTGGATCCGGCACAATAAGACTTTTGCTTTTTCCTGACCCATCCGCCTAGTATTTACTTATTGTATTTAGCTGATTTAGGTGATTTTGATAGAACTCGTTGTATTTTTTCTTCTTAGCCTGCATAGGGTTTGACCCCATCCAGGTTACAAAAAGTATAATAAAAATTGATTGAGAACAAAAAGAAATAGAAGAAAAATCCACTTAAATATGTTGGAAACTTACAATAAAAGAGGGGGAAGGATATTGCGACAACCAAGTTGTGTTACTACCAATCAATCTTACCGTTATATCGATTATATTGATCCAACGGTTATATTTATTTCCATCTATGTATGGTCATGATTTCCTAAATTTAAAGTGAAAGAATTAAATATGAGAAATCATAACCATACAAAGGTGAAAATAAATATAAAGTATTTA